AGCCATGTCCAGAGTGCGGCTCTCAGCGGGGAGCCCTGCTGCCCCCCAGCCCGGGGACCTCCTGGGCTGCCCTGCCGGCTGTTAGGGGGAGGAGGAGAGCTACAGACATCTGGTGGGTGCAGGGCACAGGGTGGCCCCAGATGTCGGTAGTGCCAGGCCGGAACACCCTTCTAAAGGACTCTGGTGGCACGTGAGCACGCGTGTGTGCTTACGCGTTTCAGTACTGTGCACGTCGCTTCTTTTCACTTACAGAATAGAATACACCTCTCAACCTCACTCTTTCCACCTGCTGCCTGGCCAGGCCCACATCAGGGCACAACCGTGTGTCCGCCCAACTCCTTGAGCCCCTTAGTTTGTCCTCTTAGCTACAAACTCTACACCAATGATCTTGTCCCTTGGCTGCTGGGTAAATGGGAGAGTACCTCTGCCGGAGAAATTTCTGGATGTGACCTTTTTTGAGGTCAAAAGGTCATGTGCATAATTTTCACAGATAATGCACACTTGCCCTCCAGAGCCAGGGAACCAGTTTCCCTCTCATCAACAATGGGCATTGCCCACCTGGTGTTAGTGGGTTCTCTGAACTTTGCCCAACCAATAAATGAAGGAGTGGCATCTCTGGCCACCAGAATTTTTATCTCAGTGTGAACTGAGCATCTTGTGCCCTCCTGAACCTTCTAAGATCGTGTGGGCTTTGGGCCTTGACTGGCAATCCCCTGGCACAGTGCCCTGCACATGGTGGGCACTCGGCGAGTAATGATAAAAACCAGCGATAGTGCTAGGACCTCGGGGTCCTGGCTGGAAAGAGCCAGCCCCCTGCAGTGGGACTCCCAAATAGCCTTGCCATGTACAGAGGTGTGAACAGGGCTAGGGCTCCCAGGAACCAGCGCCAGGAGGAAAGGGTTCCTTCCAGATTCTGCTTCCAGAAGAACCGGTGAGAGACATGGTGCCACTGAGGCCTTACAGAGAACCAGAGGTGGGCAGAGGGGCCGCCTGGCAGGCACCAAGGGAGGGCAGCGGGCAGGGAGGACAGCGCTTGCCGGTGTGCATCCTGTGCCCCCCTCTGGCCGTCCTCTCTTCCAAAGTAAAAGGGCAAAGGAGTTTGCTGACGTGGACAGCAGTGGTCAGCCTCCTGGGCATGGAGCAGGGAGGAGGAGGGATGTGGTGGGAGGCTGAATAGTGGCCCCCAAAGATGCCAGGTCCTAATCCCCAGAACCCGGGAATGCTATTCTCCTTTATTAAAGAAAAATTGACTTTGCAGATGGGATCCTGAGATGAGGGGATTATACTGGATCATCGAGTGGGCCCTAAATGCAATCAAGCGTATCCTTACACAAGGGGCAGAGCTTGGTGCAATGCGGCCACAAGCCAAGGGACACTGGCAGCCACCAAGAGCCGACAGAGGCAGGGAGCAGGTTCTTCCCCCACCCCCACAAAGCCTCTGGAGGGAGCACGGCCCCGTTGATGTCTTGATTCCAGCCCAGTGAGATCGATTTCAGACTTCTGGCCTCCAGAACTGAGCAAGAATAATGTGTGTGGTTTTGAACTACCAGGTTTGTGGTAATTTGTTAGAGCAGCCATGGGAGGCTACGACAGATGGAGAAGGTGGCAAATGGAGGCGGAGCAGCACACCAGAAACCATTAGAGCTCTCCCTCGGGCCAGAGGGTTCCTCATGCATTAGGAGACTCCCTTAACTCTCCACCAACTCCACCAAGCAGGAGCTATTATTACTGCCACCCCTCCGTCTTTTTGCAAGAAGCAAAGGCACAGAAAGGTTAAATAATTTACCCTGCTAAGTATTTTCGTTTTTAATTTGAACAGGGAAGGTTTAACATAAGGAATTATTAACTATAACAGGTAACGATCTATCAAGGGCTCAAAGATGACTCAAACAAAAGTACCATAGGACTCAGGACACCCGAGACAGGAGCACACTTGGAAAGGGCCCTTCCCGCAAAGGCTGGGGCTTGGCGCCCACAAGAAGAGGTACGGTTGCGGCCCACTGGGTGGTGGGGAAGGTTGCTGGCTGGCTTCTGGTCCATAGGTGCTGAGCACGCAGAGAACAGGCGGAGGCAGGCTGGCGGAGACTGGGGGGCCAGCTTCCAGGACACATTGAGAAGCCGTCAAACGGGACGCCTCTGAAGCTTGACGAGGGGCCACTCACATGGGCGCCACGGAAACCTGACGGAGGTGAACACCCCCGAGGCCCCCCACGGGTGTTGCCGGCGACCGCCGGGTAGGAGCAAGAAGCCCGAGCAGGATCGAGAACCGGGAGCCTCCAGTGTCCCTCTGGCTCCCTCTACTGGCGAAACTAAGCGTCCTGCTCCCGCCGAGGAGGGACGTTGAGAGGTTCCAGCTCCGCTGCGCTTTGGAGCACGGAGGCAGTAGCCAAGCAGCAGCATTACCCATTCATTGTGTCAGGTCTGGGAGGGGTGGGCTAACTGTTTTCATGGGATCATTGGATATCTTTTTTGTGTGTGAGGTGCTTGTCCAAGTCTTTTGTAAAAATGGAGTGGTCTCCTTTCTATTGAGTTTGTAGTTCTTTATATATTCTGGCTCCAAGTTCATTGTCGGGTACACGGACGGCAACTATCTTCAGCCACGTCTATGGCTTCAGGCAACTTTTTTACTTCTTTACGTCTCTGTTTCCTTGCTTGTGAGATAGAGATCATGATAAGACCCGCCTCATCAGGATGCCAAGGAAGTATGTGGATCCTGCTTGGAAAGATGCCTGAAGGTAGCAAGTATTCATACTGCCATCAGGCCTGGGATGGGCCATTCCAGAAAGAGGGGCCTCCGAGCCTCATTCTGAGTCTGGATGGTCCTGAACTCAAAGGGGAGCAATAAAGGCCCTTTTGCCAGGGTCACAATGGATACTGTAAAGTGGTGTGCTGGCACAATGATTCTCAAAAAAAAAAACAAAACCCTAGTTTGTAGTGTTTGCCAGTTGCCATGGTGTAAATACTCCCATCATGGTCAACTTCAACCTAACAATGATTTAATATCTGGCCTGCAAAATTCCTGAAAACTTAACACCAGTTTTCTCGAGCCGGTGCCAGCCAGCTGTGGCACACCACCAGCTCTTGCACCATCTGGTTGTGTTCACCTAAGTGGGTCTCTTTCCCAGTCCGAATCTTCAGTCCCTCCCACTGGTCCAAGTGGGACTCCAAGTCATCCAGCTCATTCATCCAGTGCAGATGTATTGGGTGCCTATTGTATGTCAGTCACTGCGTTAGGCTAGGGAGACACAGTCTTGAGCAAAAGCAGACAAAAAAAACCTCTGCCATAACAAAGCCTGCATTCTGAATGTGGCAGGGTGGGAGGAGTGTCAGAAAATAAACAAGTGAACACCTGAAATAGGGGTTCCTAAAGGCCATGGAGAAAACACGACAGAGAGGTATGACAGAGCTGTTGTGTCAGCAGTGGGGTTATTTGGATAGCACGGTTAACAAAGGTGTCTAAAGATAAGGCCTAAATGGTAAGAAAGTATCTTGTGCCAACCTGGTGGGAAGAGCATTCTGGCAGAGGGAACAGCAAGTGCAAAGGCCCTGAGGCTGGAACAAGTTGGGCTTCCTCAAGGAACAGAAAGGAGGCCAGAGCAGCTGGAGCTGAGTGTTTGAGGCAGGGCAGTGGCATCAGCGGGTCTACCCACAAGCTGCTGTAGTCAGAGCGGCCAGGGGGATGTGGTGGCAGCCCAGCTCAGGATGGAGTCGGAAGAGGAGGACACAGTAGACATCTCCTTTGGAGGCAGTGCCAACTGCCCCTGCAGACAGCTTGGCTGTGAGGAGAGGGGCAGGAACTGAAGATGAATATGCCTTTCAGGCAGAACAGCCCTTGTGGGGTAACTTCAAAAAGCTCCTGTTTCCAACTGCCCCAGACACGGGGTAGACTCGGAGATGGTTCTCCTCTTACCTCCGTGGCCTACAGGGGGCCCAGGGTACAGAGACTCCTTGCCTGGTGAGCCCGGAGAAGGGACTGCATCTAGTGAATGGGTGTATAGTGGGGCCAGGAGAAAACTATTGACTACAGGTCATTGGGGTGCTAGGCAGAGCCAGCAGCTTCCCCAAGATCTTCTCAATAACCTTGGAAATAGAGCTGATTCCATCTTGCAGGGGAAGACACAGAAGGTCTAGGAAGAGAAATGACTTCTCCAAGGCCACACAGCCAAGTAAGTGCCCGAGTGCACCTAAGCCCTGAATTACCATCTCCTCTCCACTCCCAGGATCAGGTCCCACAGTCCCTCCCCATCCCCCTATTATCCTGGTGATGAGGGGGAAAATAAATTTCACCCCAAAAGTTAGTGTTATTCATGAAAGTAGATGGAGAAAACTGAACCGTGTCCTACAGTTAGAGGCTCAGGGACCTGGGGTCCTGAGTCTGGGGGTGGAGGGTCTGGAAGAGCAAGGAACTGGGGGCGTGGACTCCTGGTCTGAGGGGGAGTCTGTGGCCCTGGACTCCTGGGTGCGAAAGAGGGGGAGCAGGGGGCCTGGACTCCTGGGTCTGAGGGAGGGGGCTGGGGGCCCTGGACTCCTGGTCTGAGGGAGGGGCTGGGGCCCTGGACTCCTGGGTCTGGGGGCAGAGGGGCTGGGGCCCGGCACCTGGGTCAGCGGAGGTGATTGAGACCTGAAGCAGGAGGGAAGTGCGCTCCGGGAAAAGTGTCCCAGACCCAGCGTTCTGGGGATCCGAGATGGGAAGACGTAGGGACGCCCGAGGCGGGAGGGGGTAGGGGCCGGGCCGCAGTAACAAAGGCCTCTCCTTCCAACAAGCAACCCCCCCTCGGCCCCGCCTCCCCGGCCCCCCGCCTCCCCTGATTGGTCGGCCTTCCTGCCCGTCAGCGCCGCCCCCCTCCCCGGGTCTGCAGCAGCTCCGGCCGCCTCGTCGCGCCCCCCCAGCCCCCTCCCCCCGCCCCCGCCGCCCCCCGGGCCGGTGCAGCCGCAGGCGGGGTCCCCCTCCCCCTTCCCCTCTCCCCCCGGCCTCGCGCGCCCCGGACCGGCCCCCCCTTTCCCCTCCCCCTTCACGCCGCCGCTGCCGCGATGCCCCCCCCTGCGCCCGGGGCCCGGCTCCGGCTTCTCGCCGCCGCCGCCCTGGCCGGCCTGGCCGTCATCAGCCGAGGTACCGCAGCGCTGGGGGCGGGGGGCTGGGCCGGGACGCCGGGGTCCCGGGCGGGGATCAGGGACGGGGGCTGCTTCCCCGGGCGGGGAATGGGAGGCCCCCGGACGCCAAGGTCTGGGCCCGGGGCCGAGGGCTGCAACCCCTGGTCTTTGGAAGTCTGGATCCTTGCTTGCGCGCAGGGGTCCGCGTCCTGGGGCCGAGCCTGGGCCTAGGGGCGGAGGTCGGCTTCTCCGGGCGGGCTGAGGGTCGCGGACACCTGGTGCCAATCTAGGGGCGGGAGTCTGCGGCTCTGAATCAGGGAGGGGTGTCAGACGGTAAAGTAAGGGTCCCCGGGCAGGATCTCTGAACTGAGTTGGGGCCGGGGGAGGGGGGGCTGGGGAGGATGCTCCGTAGAGGGTCTTCATCTCCGGGAGGAGAGTCCCCGAGGGGGTCCTGGCCTGAGGGCTGGGGTAGGCGTTTCTGGGCAGAGGTGGCGGGGGATGGTTTCTTCCCAGGGTCTGTAAAGGGAGGCGGCAGGGGTACCTACAGACCTCCGTCCTGGGGCCCGGAAAAGAAGGGGGTCTGGTCTCCCAGCCGGGAAGCAGCTGGAGGTCCCCAGCTGGGTAACCTAGGTTGGGAGAAAGTGTTGGCATTTGGGGGTTGCAGTTGTGCAGGGGAATGGTGCTGGTGACCCTGGAAGTTGGGGGGCTGTTTGGGGAATGCAGATGTGAGAAGCTCTGGCAGAATATCTGGGTCCCTAGGACTGCACTGAAGACGCAGATTGAGAGGGTAGTAAAGGGTTAACGTGGGGTCAAAGGGTTAATCTCAGCTGGGTAGAAGGGCTGGTTCACGGAGGTGGGGGATGTTAAATGGGCTTCACGGGGTGACCTGGGCATTTTGAGGGCAGAGGGTGCGTAGCTAGCTGGACCTGTGTCTCTCCAGCAGGCTGGCGGCCCCGGGAGGTACGGGCGCTGCCCCCTGAGGAGGGGCGGGAACAGGGTTGACTCACTGCCCCTGGAGGGTTGCCCCAGGCCCTGCCCCAGCCAAGGCTCACAGAGGCAGGGACACAGTCGGGGACAACGTAGAGCCGCCAACAGTCTCACTGAGGCAGCTGCTCTCGGCCTCCCGCCCACACACACCAGGTCAGGCACAGTCACGTAAACACCAGTCCCCAGCGCGACCTGCAGACACCCACAGTCACACAAGCCCCACCGGGTGCACCCCGGTGCACGCAGGACACCTGTCTGTGCGCGCAGGACGCCGCCAGGCTGCAGCCCTGCAGACGGCTTGAGCGCTCCCCCGCCCGACCTGTCTGAATCGCTGTCTGACTTCTGCCTGCCTGTCTGTGCCTCTCTGCCCCTGTCCCTTGTCTCTTTAGGTGTCCCTGGTGTCTTGGCCATTTCCGGAGGCTCCCCAGCTCTGGATGATATTCCATGGGTCTGTCCCTAGGTCTCTTGTCTCTGTCCCTGCTGGTCTCAGCACAATTTCACACCTGTCCCTCTGCCTCTGGAACTCCTTCCATTGTCACACCGCGCGTGTCTCTCTGTCCCTTCCTAGCTCCCTCACATGCGCCTTGGTCCTCATTTACTTCTGGACATTTGAGTCATAGCCTGTCACAGACGTGTCTCATCTCCCTCCTGGTTCTGTCCTTGTCTCTCCCTTCCCCTCCCCCTCCCTTCCCCACTCCTGGTGCCCTCGGTGACCCCCTTCCTTCCTCTCCCCCAGCTTCCCCTCCCCCTTCTCTCTCTCTTTCCCTTTCCTCTAATGACAGCTTCCCACTTTCGCTTTTACTCTTCGGCCTGTCACTGCTGTGCACGCTTGCTGGGTGGGGGTGAGCTTCACGGAGCCAGGAGGTGGTCAGGTCCTTTCCCACCTCTGGGCCTTGGGTGCCCCATCTGAGAACTGAGGGCAAGAGGGGATGGCGGCAGACGGGAACTGAGACACAAGGAAGGGACAGAAAGACAGTGCCACCCACCCATCCACTGACAGCTGGGGCCTTCCCAGAAAAAAGCCCACACACAGCCAGATACACAAAATTGCATCCTCAACTCTCTCCCTTCGATTCATTTGGTGTTTTCCAAATTGCAGGGCGAATGCATGCTCGTGAACCACCCACTCTCAACACGTAGAGGAGCAAATCCCATGTGTCCCGGCCCCACCTTCCCCCAAACTCAGAGCCTGGGCCAGCGCACCCTTCCACAGCTTTCCCTTGCTCACACTAAGCCAAACGCACAGTGCAACCTATGTAAGGGATTGGTTTGTTGATGATTCTCCCAAGATAGAAACAAAACAAACCCATTTCTCTGCAACTGGCCTTTTTTCCACTTAATCCTACCTTCCAGGCATCCACAGATACTGTTCTATCTTTTTTTTCTAAATTCCTTAGGCCACCGAACACCCTCACACATATACATTCGCTTAACAAAGGTAGCTGTGAGTGATGCAGGGCATTTCTTTTGCTCACTGGCCAGGCTGTTACAGGGACAGGGTGACCCAGACATGCAGGCCAACCTCCACGGGCCTCTGGGCACCCGGGTTATCTGGACTGTGGGCCCTGCCTCCTGGGTTCATTTAACAAATATTTACCGAGTGCAAAGCCTCTGTTCTAGGCACTGGTGGTGAGCACTTCTGCATGGGCTCCCTGAGTAACCGCCACAAGCTCACATGCTCCCGGGCCCCAGGCCTCAGGTTCCCCATCTGGGGGTTCTGGGACTGCGGAATCCAATCATTCCCCCACTGGAGAGTCCCAGTTTCACCCAGCTTCCTTCAAGGAGCAGCGAGAGGTTCTTATCTCAAACTCAAGTTCACCTGGCTCGTTAAAAATCCCCTTCTCAAGTGGAGGAGGCTCACCTGCCTGTGACCTTCATCTCTTGACTTACCAAACAGATAGGGTCTGGCAGAGCCCCACAGGGTGCCTCCAGGCGCCACTGGACCCCCAGAAGGCTGGTGCCTGCCGCATAATCACCCCGCCAGGGCACAGGTACAGCTGTTTGCAAGCGTTTAACTAGCAGCCACTGTATTGGACCTGCTGCTTGGGTGACCTCTTTTCTCCCTCCCCCAACAAGCAGATGAGGGAGGCACATGATCATCCGGGTTCCCAGGTGGGGAAACTGAGTCACTAGACCACCCCAGTCTGCTCTAGCAGCCTAGTCATGCCAGGTTGGTGGCTTCAGAGCAGATGCTGGCGGGGCATCTGTACGTGAGCCAGCTCGAGCAGGCGCTGGGCATAGAGCAACCTGCAACCAGACCCTGCCCTCCCCCCACCCCTCCCGCAGGGGCTGACCCCAAACCAGGGATAGCAATAGATGTTTCTTAAAAAAGAAGGTGCTGTTAGGAACAGCTAGCATTTCTTGGGCGTTTCTGCACTCTAAGCGCTGAGCTAGACATTTTGCTTGCATGATCTCCTGGAATCCCTTCGCAGAAAACTTCAGAGGGTAAAAACTAGAATTTTTCTCCTCTTTACAGACAGGGAAACTGAGACTCAGACTGGCCTGGGGTCACCCAGCCAGGAAATGGTGGGGCAGACATTTGATCTCCCAGCCCAGGCTCCTCAGGGCTTTCTTATCCAGTCTCCAAAGACCATCCATTCGTCTACAAACATTTTCCTGCTCCAAGCTGAGGCCAGCTCTGGGAGACACTGCCAAGAGTCAGGCCCTCAAACTGGGGAACTCTTGGTCAGGTGGTGGGGACACGCCTGGACACTGTCCCCGCTGAGCCAGAGGGCTGGTAGCCAGTAGAGAGAGTGGAGTCCCTCTGCCCTGAACAGTCAGGGAGGTCTTCCTAGAGGAGAAACATTTGAGTTTGGGTCTTGAAGATTGAGTAGGAGTTCAAGAGTTGGAGAAGCCTGTAGGCATGCATTTACATACACTCATTCAACAAATTATTTCCAAGTCCTTCCTGGACCAGGCCCCTGTGCTGGGAGATGCTGGGGACACAGACCTGAGTTAGTCCCAGGCTCTGCCCTCAAGAAACTTCCAGTTTGATAGGGAAGACAGAGACACAGATGGTCACCACAGTGTGATCTGAGCGCTAATGAAGGCAGTTCCAGACATTGTGGGAACACAGACCAGACCAGACCCAGGGTTTGGAGGGGGTAGTAGCAGAGGTCTTCCCACAATTGAATCAGAGTTTTCCCAGAAGAATTCCTACAGAGTGGACCTCATGTGCCCTCGCTTGTTTGTTTATACATTAAACATCTCTTGAGGCCTGAGTTAGGATGCTGGAACCCTGGAGGTGGGTCAGATCCAGGCCCTGCCCTGAGGTGGGGGCTCCCATCTGGGGAGAGAAGCAGACCAGACACAATCCGCGGTGATCAGGACGAAGACAGAGGGAGCAGCTGCACCCAGGGATGGAGAGGGTGGCAGGATGACTAGCCTAACCCCCACCCACCTTTACTGAAGCCCTGGATGGGGTGGGGGGGACTTGCCCAAGGTCACGCAGCACAGGGGGATCCTGATTTCGGAGTCGGAATTGTGTGTTAGATTTGCAGACCCATGACATCCAGCTTCACAGGCACACAGAGCAGGAATCAGAGACCCACTTGAGATACGGATTCCTTCATCACTTGTCTCTGGGACGCCCTTGGTCAGGCCCTGAGCTGGGCATGTTGGGGGCCCAGATGGTCTACGCCGAGCCCTTCCCTGGGGCAGCAGGCCAGGGAGGCAGAGGACCCTGGGAGCAGGCTGGAGCATATGGGCTGGTGGGGGGCCGTCTCTCCTAGGAGAGGCACTATGCCGAGTCCCTAGAGGAGGAGAAGCATCTCGAAGGAAACGATGGGCCAGAGGGATGGGGAGGAAAATGGGGATTGTGGAGCTGGGCCACGCACACAGCAGGGGGATGAGGTGGCAGAGTGGCACCAGGGCCTGGGGGTCCTGGGGACAGCGCAGAGCCATAGGAGGCACAGAGGCCTGCCTGAGTGTTGGGAAGATTCCCTCTGGCAGGGAATGTGTATCTGTCTGTATGTCTGCCTGCCAGACCCAAGAGCAAGGCCCTACCTGCCTCTGTGGGACCCTGGGGTCCGGGCCCAGCTCCCGTGGGTGGCACCTGGTTGGAGCTTGGGGCTGAGCCCTGGGCTCCCTGTAGCTTTGGGTGACACCTTGGACAGCTCCCTCTTCACTCACAGGCTGGGGTTCCCCCCTCCCTTAACCTTGGACAGTGGCTGTCACGGATGGGGGTGGGTTTTGCCCCCTGGGGGACATCCAACAGTGTCTGGAGGCATTTTGGGCTGTAACCAGTGTGGGTTGGGGGAGCTATTGGCATCTAATGGGTGGTGGCTAGGGGTGCTGCTGAGCACCCTACAGTGTACAGGATGGCCCACCAGCGAGGAATCGTCCGGCTTTGAGTGCAGGCGGCGGGGAAGCCCTGGTCCAGCATGTGTGTGGCCAGGAGTACAGCAGATCCTGTGCGGGGGAGGGTCTGAGCAGGGATGGCCGTGTGTGATCTGACTGCAAGTGACAGCTGACTGCAGGCGCCCTGTTCTTGGCCCAGGACGGCCCCTTTGTATGGGAGGCTGTGACAGAGGAGCTGAAGCTTGTGCCTGACTCTCCCCAGGGGTTGGGGATGAGCCTGGCTCTCGGCTGGTAGTGCCTCTGTGACCAGCTAGGCCAGGGCGTGTGCTTGCATGTGTGTGTGTGTGTGTGATGGCCCTCTGGGTAGGGCTGTAACTGAGTGTAGACTTTGCACCTGCGTGTATGGGGCTGTTGGTGTCAGTATCCATGTGGATCCAGTTGTAGAAGATGGGGCGGCTCAGTGTGCAATGGCTGTTGGGCCTGGGGCCACCCCTCTGGGGCTGATCTGACACTAGGCATGCCCATGGGGAGAGCTGCCATTCCTGACCTGCTGGGTGTGTGTCTCGGGCTGACCGTGTCACCATGAGTGAGTGTGCACCTGTCCCTCTGAGCAGGGCTCATCACCGTTCATGTGACCTAGTGTGGGACTGTTTCTCGGCCTGGTGCTGGCTCTGTGCATCTCTCCAGGGCTGTGGTGACTGTGTTCATCCCAGGGCCATCTCCTGCTGTTACTGGAGCTATGCACACATCCTCTGCTCTGCACTGCTCAGGGAAGGCTTCCCTCCGTCCAGGGCTCCTTAGAGCCCAGGGTGAGGGGCTGCAGGGCCCAGCCTCAATCGCCAGGGCCTGCAAATCCCACTGCACTGGCTCTGCCCGGCTGCTAATGAAGAGGGCCCCCGGGAGTCATTGGGGCGGCACGAACAATTAATTCATTAGATTAATTAGCTCCTCATCCCTGGGTGGGGGGCAAGCAGCCCTGTGCAGAACCGCCCTCTCTAGGCATCCAAGGTCATGCAGCGCTTCCTCTCCCCAACTGGTGCCGTCTCCATCCGCTGCCTCCGCACGCCCAGCCCCCACTCCCTGGCGCTGGTCCAGCCTGCTGGCCACGGTCCACAGAGAGATGAATGGGTGGGGGTGGGGGCTCTGCCGGGTGATGGGGCCTGCCAGCTGCACTGGAGTGTGCGGGCAGGCGTGGGCAGGCGCCTGCAAGAGTAGCGCCGTGAGTCCCGGCACACGGGTGCATCTGTGCAGACTCGTGTGCCTGCGAAGGTTTGAGTGTGGTGTGCCCCATGCCTGAGGGTGTATTTGTGCATCTAATAGACATGTGTCTGCGTGGACACACGTATGCATCTGTGTGTGCATGGGTTTGTATCAGTATGTCTGTATGTCTACAAACACATATGCAAGTGTTGAGCGTGCGTGCAGCTAGCTGGCCTTGTATGTATGACCTCCAGTGTATTTTTGAATTAATGTGTGTACACACGTGTATCTGCACACCTGTGTTTGTTGCATATGTACATATATTTGTGTGTATATGCATGTATCCATGAGCCTATGAATAGGCATGTGTACCATGTACATGTACATCTGTGTACATGTATGTTCGCATCTGTGTTTATTGCATATGTATATCTGTATATCTGTATATGTATATGTATCTGTGTTCTCTTGAACCTATACATGTGTCTGTACACAGTATGTATGCCTCTGTGGACACAGGTATAGACCTGTGTGTGTGTGTCTCTGTGCATGTGTATCTGTACATGTGTATACACATGTATATGTGTATCTGCATGTGCATCTATGTGATTGTGAATCTGTGCATATGTATGTAGTGTCTCTGTACACAGTATCTGTGACTATGTATGTGTGTGTGTGTGTCTGTGCGCTGTGACTGGGGTGTTGTCTCAGTGTCTCTGGAGGTGTGTGGGTATGTGTGTCCCAGTCTAAGTCAGTGCAAGACTGTGGGAAGGTACGTGCTGCATGTGTTGGCTCCAAGCATGTCTGCCACATGTGTCTCTGGAAACGCCGATGAATGCGTGTGCTGCTGGATGCGGGAAATCTCTGTGTCTACAAGGCGCATGCATGCACAGTCCCTGCCATGAGGGCCCAGCGTCTCTAGCACCGGCCCTGCCGAGCTGAGTCTGCCCTCGCCTCCCCAGGGCTGCTATCCCAGAGCCTGGAGTTCAGCTCTCCTGCGGACAACTACACAGTGTGCGAAGGCGACAACGCCACCCTCAGGTACCCCTCCCTGGGTCCCTGTCCCTTGAGTGTTCCAGACACCTCTTTTCCAGTCTCTGGCACACAGCAGTCATTCAATAACCATCAGCTACCATTTTGCTGTGCACTTGGGCTCACAACTTTTCTCCTCTGAGGCTCAGTTTACCAATCTGTGAAGTGGGCACAGTATCCTCTGCCTCACCGGGCTGCGGTGGGAACTGGAGACGTAGTGGGCCTTCCTGTCCCCCACCTGCAAGCCCCTGTGATGGGAGAACCTGGAGGGCCAGGCTGGAGCCAGGAAGAGAACCAACCTCTCCTCGCCCTCCCCAACAGCTGCTTCATTGATGAGCACGTGACCCGCGTGGCCTGGCTGAACCGCTCCAACATCCTGTATGCGGGCAACGACCGCTGGACCAGCGACCCGCGGGTACGGCTGCTCATCAATACGCCCGAGGAGTTCTCCATCCTCATCACCCAGGTGGGGCTTGGTGATGAGGGCCTCTACACCTGCTCCTTCCAGACCCGCCACCAGCCGTACACCACTCAGGTCTACCTCATCGTCCATGGTGAGCCCCCTCCCCAGGCCCTGGGTGTGGAGGAAGTGCAGGGAGCAGGGGAGAGGGGCCTCTGGTGTACCCGCCAAGTGCCCGCCTCCCCCCACCAGTTCTGGCAATACATCTGTGTGGAAGGCTGACACACACCTGCCCTCACGGATTTCAGCCAGACAGACAGAGGACAGCCACACAGACAGTGACTCTTCAGTGCGACAGGCAGGAGACCTGCAGGGGTGGGGGCTGCTCAGAGGAGGACCATGTTCCTTTGGGGCCCTCCTTACCATATGCAGGCACTGCTCTAGGCCCCGGGGGTAGAGGAGGAGACTAGCAGGCTGTCCCTGCTCCTCTGGAGGTGACTTTCCAAGGAGAGGCGCTCCCAGACATAATGTCTGAGCTGAGAGCTGCAGCTGGGCACTGAGCTGGTACCAGAAAAGGAACAGCACGTGCAGGGGCCGGGGGATAAAATGAGTCACTGTGCAGAAGCAAGTCCCTGTGGCTGGGTGCTCCTGAATTCCGAGTGGGAGGACGGGCTGGAGAAATCCACAGACAGGGCCGGAGGAGACAGTGCTCCACAGGCTGCCTCACGGGGCATCAGAAATGGTCTGGAGGGCAGGGAGCTCGGGGAGAGACAGGCAGACAGCCCAGCCGGGCCCTGACAAGCCAGACGCGGGAGCCAGGCTGCCTGGGTTCCAACCTCAGCACCACCACCCACCAGCTGAGGGACCTGAGCAAGCGGGGACGACCCTGTCCTGCATCAAATCCAAGAAAGTGTCACCTGGAAGGGTACCTCTATTTTATGCTCTGCTAGAAAAGAAAACAACACCGTGCCAATTAAATAGGGGACAAAACACCCACAGGTGTTAGAATTGGCGGATACAGAGGGCGGATGCTAGTGCGGGCTTAATGAGGTAATTGTTTTAAAACACTTAGAACAGGGTTTAACACACCTTAAGCACCCTATGAGCATTTGTTAAATAAATTAACTTTTTAAGAGAATAATAGTAACTAAATAAAAATAGAGATGGGGAGGGAGGAATTCAGACCAGACGGTAGAGAGACCAAGTTAGGATAAAGAGAGAAACACAAGGGAAGTCTTACACAAAGAGGGAGAGGGCATGTCAGCCAGACTTCTGGGTTCTGGACGGTGGGCAGGGGACCTAGACTCCTGGGTCTGGGGAAGATGGGGGCCCGGGGCCAGGACTCCTGGATCCTGGGAGTCCCCTCAAGCCTCTCGCTGACCTCCCAACTCCCTGGCCTGCAGTCCCCGCCCGCATTGTGAACATCTCCTCACCTGTGACCGTGAACGAGGGAGCCAGTGTGAACCTGCTCTGCCTGGCGGTGGGGCGGCCAGAGCCCACGGTCACCTGGAGGCAACTCCGAGGTGAGGACCACCCCTGGCTCCTTCCCCACTCCTCAAGCTGGGACCCTCGATTCCCCATATCCCTCACCAGAACCCTAGGGTTCCCCTTTCCCTCACTCCTGATCTCCGTAATTCTTGTGATGCCTTGATTTCCCCATCCCACCCTGATCCTGTTATTTCATTGGCCAACCCCAGAGCCTTAGAGCCTTGACCACTTGCCATCCTAGGCCTGGACCACTTCCTCCAAATCACCTGCTAGACCCTAGCTTGCCCCCCATCCCCATGCCGTCTCCCCAGTCTTTTCCCACGAGCTCAGGATGCTCTGGGCTCAGAATCCCTACCACTAACCGGAGGCCAGGCTCCAGCCAGTGGCCCCGCCCACATCCCCATCTCCTGGTCACACCATTACATCTCTGCTCCTCTAGCCCAGCGGTTCTCAGAGTGTGGTCTCCGGACCAGCAGCATCACCATCATCTGGCAACTTTTCAGAAATGCACATTCTTGGGCCCACCCCAGACCTGATGAATCAGAACCCCCCACACAGTCTGTTTCAGCAAGCCCCCCAGGTGGTCCTGGTAATCAAGCTGAATCAGTGCCCGAGGCTATCCCCAAGCACAGTGCCAAGGCGCCTGAACATGACATCCCTGTGCTGACATTTCCCACGCCCCTTGACCTGGGTCTCTCTCACCACTTCCCAGATCCCTAGATCCTCACTCCCTGGGTCTTTGGAGACCAGTGGTGCCAATCAGTAGATTCCCCTGAGACCCCAGAACCCAGTGACTGGGTCACAGATGCTGGACCCTCCCCACTGGGCTCTAGTTGCTAAGCCCCAGGTCTTCACTTCCGGCCCCACCCCTAGCAGGAGATCCCAGGTCATCCCCACCACGCCCCCTGCAAGCCCCTCCTGGCTCCCACTGACCCGGCACTCCAGGCCCTGCGGTGCCGCCCCGCTGATGTGTGTCCGTGTTGTGCCCGTGTTGTCCCGTGTTAAGTGTTTGTGTCCGGCCCCGCCCCCTTCCCACCCTGCCCCCACAGACGGCTTCACCTCCGAGGGCGAGATCCTTGAGATTTCAGACATCCAGCGGGGCCAGGCTGGGGAATATGAGTGCGTGACTCACAACGGGGTTAACTCGGTGCCCGACAGCCGCCGCGTGCTGGTCACAGTCAACTGTGAGACCCCACACCACCCCCGGCACTGGCACGAAAGGGGGTGGCGGGCCCTGGGTCCTCGGGGAGGAAGGGTGTCACTGGAGTCCGGGGAGGGCGCGAGGCAGGGGACTGGAGGCAGACCCCTTAGTCTCCACCTGGCTAGGAGAACTCGCTGACTCGCCCTCCCAGATCCTCCGACCATCACGGACGTGACCAGCGCCCGCACCGCCCTGGGCCGGGCCGCCCTCCTGCGCTGCGAAGCCATGGCTGTGCCCCCCGCGGACTTCCAGTGGTACAAGGATGACAGACTGTGAGGACAGCACCGGGGCGGGGCGTCCTTGGTCCCTCGGACTGGAGTGGGGAGGCCTGTAGTAAATAGTCCTAGGCCCCAAGAACTGGGGGATCCAGCCCCTAGGTGATGGGGTCCTCTGGGCCGCAGGAAACTGTGGGATTTACTGCCACGATGATAAATGTGGAGCCGGTCTTCTCGGACCATTCAGGGAGAAAGTCCCGAGGTCGGGGGTCGATGCTGAGGATCTGGCGGGGGAGCCTTAGGGAACCCGCTGCAGCTGGAGTCCAGCAGGTCTGGGAGCGCCTAGAGTGGAGGCACACGCTGGCAGAGTCCAGTGGCTGGGGGCAGGAGTGCCTGGAGAGGGGCGTCAGTGGGAGTGGCCCGGGAATCGTGGGGTGCTAGAACCCGAGGCTAGGGGTCTCTGGGGTAAGGGGCAGGATGCGGGAAATCCGGGAGCCTGAGAGTCGGGGTTGGGCTCTGCGCCCCAAAGGGTCCTGACCTGGGTCCCCGGCAGGCTTATCAGCGGCACGGCCGAGGGCCTGAAGGTGCAGACGGAGCGCACCCGCTCGATGCTTCTCTTCGCCAACGTGAGCGCCCGGCATTACGGCAACTACACGTGTCGCGCCGCCAACCGACTGGGAGCGTCCAGCGCCTCCATGCGGCTCCTGCGTGCGTCCAGGGGAGGGGCGGGGCCTAGGTCGAGGGGCGGGGCGGAGGCGGGGCAGTGGAGCCGCCGGAGCCGTGCCCCTGGTTGACCCCGAAAGCTGAGACTCCAGCACGGGGACTGAGCTTGAAACCGATCCCTTCAATGGATATCGATGCATTCACTGAGCGCCCACTAAGTATCGGGGACACAGCAGCGCACCAGAGACAAGGTCTAGGGACTCGCGGAGCTTACGGTCTCGCAGTCGTAGAAAAGCATAAATAAAATGCAAACACATACACACATAAATAAACAAAAAGTAGTTTGGGGAAAATAATGGGATTGGGGATGAAAGCATTAGACAAGCTCATCAGAGAAAGCTTTCTGGAGGCGGTAACTTGAACTGAGAGCCGAATAGTACGAAGGAAGCCGGACTGCCAAGGTCTGCAGGCAGAGGAAACAGTACGTACACAGGCACGGCATGGAGGCCAAGCATAACCTGAGCAGAGTGATCACGTGGAACCTAAGGTTAAAAAGGAAGAGACACCCGGAGTCTCGTGGGCCATGGGGTGGATTTTGTATTTATTCTACTGCAGGATGAGGCCCCTTGAGGTTAATAGCTGGGGAATGACGCGGTTGCCGCCTCCAATCACCTTGACTGCTATTTGAGGAACGGACCGGACTGTAGGGGGCGCAAGAGGAGGCAGGGAGACGAGAGAGGGGACAGCTGCGGTGACCCAGGCCGGGAACCGTGGGGGCGGCACAGTCTCTGTGCCGGAGATGTTCTGGGAGGTGGAGGGAAGGGGGTAGCGGAGTCCAGGGGATTCCTAGTTGTGACCTGAGCAGCTGGATGGGCGGGGATGCAGTGCTGGAGCACTGGAACAGGGACGTATCGGTGGGGCCCGGGGAGGGGGCGAGCGGCAGCCGGTCTCGGGGAGGAACGTCAGGAGCGCCCTTTGGGGTGCGTGCTAGAAGATGCTTAGTGGGAATGCTGGGTATATAGAAAGTGTACGACACAAGGACAGACATTGAGAGCCCCAGGTTAAGACTGAAAAGGAGGTGGCAATGGCCTGGGAAAGGGAAATATGAGAGACTGAGTGGCAGAGAGACGCATGCTCAGCAGGTGCTAAAACAGGCGGAGGAGCAGGCGCACCGCCCCAGAGGGCCCCTAGAGAGGGAGGCTCAAGAGAGATTCGGGGTCACACTTGCAGAGACAAGGCACCCGGGGGGCGTACGTGGGGTGACGCTCTTTCTTTCCCCAGGCCCAGGATCCCTGGAGAACTCGGCCCCCAGGCCCCCGGGGCCGCTGACCCTCCTCTCCGCCCTGGGCTGGCTGTGGTGGAGGATGTAGGGAGAGCCCAGTGCAGATGGCCGCCCCGGGGTGGGGCCCGAGGCTGAGAGCAGGAGGAAGACGGGCGGCAGGCGCCGCGGGTCTCCAGGGGGCAGAAGAGCTCTCGGCCCCTGCGGAAGAAGAGAGGAGGAGGAAGAGGAGGATCTTTAGAGAACCCATCACTGTGAGGGATAACGCAAAATTATGCATCTTTCTACAGCCATTCTCGCCACCGTTCACGTTTCCGATTGTGACCCACCCCTGGCCACCCCACACCCCTCTCTTAGCTCAGGCTGTCAACCGGATGGCGTGTGTGTAGTGGTGTGTGTGAGTGTGAGCCTGCGTGGGTGTGTGTGGGTGTGCGTGTGGGTGGGGAAGGGGGGCTCAGTAGCCTTCCCTCCCCGGACACCCCCATCCCCATCCCCACTGCCCCCAAGCCTGCCGCCTCTCACCTCTGGCTGGAGGTAGGTATGGGGGCCTCGTGGTAGAAGCTGCGAGGAGAGGTTTTCCAGGCTCCCTGCTTCCCCAAAACATGCACGTACACCACCCCTCCCTCCTCTCAAAAGGGCGTCTCCTGGGCAGTTGCGAGTGGGGCGGGGCTGCATGCTCACCTGTCAAGCTGTCATCTAACCTCTGTGAGCAGATGGGGGTCTCCGTCTTGGCTCTGAGCGCCCCCGCTGTCCATCCCCAGCTGTCTGTAGCCGGCTCAGCGGCCTGAGACCTTCCCACTTTCCCCGTCCCCCGATCCTGGACTTTCTGGCCCCCTCCTGGGCCAATCGGTGCTTCCATCCAGCTGTCAGGCTGGTGCCTGTGGTCACCTGTCCGTCTCAGTGCTTTGTCCTACCCGCCCCCCGCCCCCTCACCACCTGCCGCGCCAGCCAGCTGCGCTCAGCGCCCCTGCAGCCGGCCCCCAGGTGTGGGGGTGCTGGTCTACCACTCCCTGGCCTCTCCACCAACTGTGCCACCCAAAGGCTGACCTGACCGCCCTCACACACACTCACACACACACACACACCAGCGACTGTGACCAGCAATAGCCCCCTGGCTCCAGCTGTCCTGTGGCCAGGGACCAGTTGTGGTTCCCCCAGGGTGGGCAACTGTTGTCAGGAGAGGGCGCTGAGAGGCTGTGACCTCAGCTCTGACTGTAGGGATACCCTACCCTGGCTCACCACATCACACAAAGCGGGGGAGAGAGGCATCACAGACGTCCCCAGCCCAGACCAAGATGCCAAGTCGCCAGCTCCAACTCCAGGGGACCCTCGATAAACACCCACCCCGAAACACACCACCCAGAGCTTGGGAGACGAAGGCAGAGCAGGGGCAGGGGGGGGCAAGGGGCAGTGACTGTACCTCAGACGGGGGCGTGGGCCCCATCTCACATTGTCTTCCATTCCCAGGGTCCGGGCACGGGGAGGGGTGGGGGAGGGATGCAAGGGAGGGGGGCGGGGGCCCTGGGGGCCGTGTGTTCCCATTCATGGGGAGTGTTGAGACCACCACACCAATAAACACCTTTTTCCAAAGTCTCTGCCTGCAGGTGTCAACGTCATTAAGGATTTGGGTGAGAGGAGGGCAAAGGGTCGTGGTCATTGGTGGTGCCTCCTGAGCATCACCCTCTCCTTTCTCTTTGGTAGATTTGGAATTGACCCATTGGCAATGGTGGCCCGGTTGGCACAAGCCACTCGGAACAACCAATTTCCCACTGTGATTGGTCAGATCCAATGTCTCTATTTCCCAAGGCCCCTTTCACCCCAGTCCTTAACCAGATACCTCACAGCCTTCCGTTCCCTGAGTTGGGTGCCAGTTACTTATGCTTAGATATTTGTTTCCTTTCTTTTCTATGCTGTCACACCCATCTCCTGTGATGCAGGCTGAGATATTTGGCGAAGTGAAAGGAGGGAAGCTTGCTGTTAGGCGTCTAGGGAAGTTTTTTCTCACTCATAAGGTTGGTCAAGGGGAGGGTGTGGGAAGAGAACCCTGCTCCGTTCCTTTCATCTTCAGATACAGTTGTGTGAAGATGTGGTAACTGGAGCTGCAGCAGCCACCTTGCTACATGAGACAATATGTCAACCCACTGAGGGTGGCAGAGCAGAAGAGTGCAAAGTGCCCAGATCCCCGACAGGGTCATTAAATTGCTGAGCTACCCTGAAACCACCCACCTCCATATTGTCAGCATTTGCTACTTGCAGCCAAAGGAATCTTCGTGATTCACTCCCTTGTTTCCAGTGAGAAATCCAGCTAAGACAGACGTCCTGGTGGGCAGAGCAGCAGAAGGCCCAGCCTTTCACTGGCACCGTTGATCAGTCGCCCGTTCTTCCTGCCTGCTGTGCGGCAGGCTCTGGGCTAACTGCTGGGGATGATGACATGGTCTGTGCCTTCACGAAGCTCTCAGAGAGGGAGTCAGAGGCGACAAGTCATGACGTGCTTACATACAGGGAGTAGAGCGGGAGGTTCAGGGCTTCCAGGACCTAACGCGTGGCGGAGGCAGGTTAGCCTTCCTGGACCCGTTTCCAGTGCGTGGGGCGTCCCACCCCCCACCCCCAACACCAGACAATTCTTGGACACCAGCAGGGTGTCCAGGAATTCAACTCAATTCTGACATTTTCTGCCAGGAAATAGCATCAGATCCCACAGGTTTAGGGTTCAGTCTGCAAGACTGACCCCACTCACCTCCAGCTTCAGATGCCAGTCCCAAGCCCCGTGGTCCTGACCAGTGGGCTAGTTGGAGGTTCCCACAACCTCTTCCTGAGCTTTGATTAATTTGCTAGGGCAGCCCGCAGAACTCAGGGAAACACGTTTACCAGTTTATTAAAGGACACTAGAGGATACAAATGAACAGCAGGTGATGAAGAGGTATATAGGGTGAAGTCTTTAACAAAGGAGCTATGTCCTCGGGGAGCTTGGGGCCCGGCTCCGCGGACCGTGGAGGCATTCTGGGTCCCCTAGCATGGAAGCTCTCCACAAACAAAAGGACCAAAATACCTTCCTCTTGGGTCTTTATGGCATTACACAGTCATGACTGATAACATTACACTGGCCATTGGCTGATTCAACCCTCTCCTTAGCCCATGGGCAGGGGGCACTGAAAATCCTCCAATCACGTGGTTGGTCCTCCAGGCAACCAGCCCCCACCCTTCGGTGGGATCTGAAAGTCATCCTTTTAATAACAAGACACCCATTTCACCTTTCTGGCTCTGAAGCATTTTCAGGAATCGGGGATGAGGACCAAATATGTATTTCTTATTAATCACTATATTGCAGTTACACTTACACTTGCGGGGCTCCAGACAGTCAACCCTAGGGGCAAGGTCTGGAGGCAAAATAAGTTTGGTGGAGAGGAAGCCTTGAGGTACTTGATAGAGGAGGCAAAGTACTGGAAGGAGAGGCCAGAGAGGCCAGTAGAGGCCAAACCACAAGGCTCTGAAGGCCACACTGAGGAGCTCTGTCATAACTGAAGGGTAATGGGAGCCACTGAAGGGTTTAAAGAGAAGTGGGACGTGATCTGATCTAAGATGAAGGCTGTGGGAGCTGGATGGGTGCGGCCTGGAGGAAGCCAAGTGAAGATGGAACCTTTTCAGAGAATGAGGCTGAGGCCCTGCTTGGCTCACAGCCACAAAGCGAGTCCTGCCTGCCCAGAGCACAGCCTCCCCACACATCTTGCCTGCCTGGAGGTTGCACAAACCACACTTTTAAGTCAGCAGGAGTCTCTTCCAGCCCCGAGGCCCATCTCCTCAGGTACAAATACAGGTAGCGTCTTCTGTGCTGAGAGAGGGAGATGGGAAGTCCCACTCTTGGGGTCCCGCCTTCAGTCACAGCACGACAGGAAGGACCTGCCCTCTGCAGGGGTGAAACAGGAAGTCCTGCCCCCAAAGTCCTGTGCAGAGCAGACTACTAACCCTGGTCACACCTGCGTGGCTGCCCGAACAGTCTTCTGGCCCCCACCTGGCCAGATGGCTGGACTGGGGCTGACCACCTGGGGAGAGAGAAGAGGATGGGGGACAACCTCAGGGGCTACCCTGGATGTGACATGACTCACCTTTTTCTAGCCCTGGCTCACCATTCAGAAATTAGCTGTGTTCCCTCTATTTACAACGGGAAGAAAGTGTCTAGCCATCCTTCGAAGAGATGAGACAGTCCACAACTGAACTCTTATAGGGAAGAAGACATTCCATCCCACTCAGAGAAAATGGATGTTTTTATCAATTTTTATGGAAAAGAATAAAGGAGTTTTCTTTCCCTCCTTTGGGGAGAAATTGGACTTTTACTCTTCTAATAGAACTAAAAATTAGATGGGGAGTCCTGTCCAATTTTTATATATTAAAAAAAGGAAAATATGTTACCAATTTGGTAAACCAAGTAAAGCTGGAGGAAGAGAATTCAGGCCATCTCCTCTCCCTAAAATACAAAAAGTTCTGCCCCCATTTCAGAGGGACATTGGGGCAACCACACTCACTAGGTGGACCCTGGCTGGGCTAGGATCCTCCAGTGAAACTTTGACAGGTAGAGGCTCTGGGGTCTGCACTGGGGTCACACTCTTCATCTTTTCTGGTAGGGGGACCACAGAGGTCAAGGTCTGGGGGTGCTTCTTTTTCTTAAGAGTCTCACCTGGGAGAGAGGAGAAAGAGAAATAGAAATGCGTGATTGGCTGGTCTAACATGCCAACCCAGCCAATGGCGAGGGAGACTGGGCTGAAAGGTGGAGGCTTACTCTGATTGGCTGACATGGAAGCAGAAAGGCAGGATGGAATACCTGCGACTGCACTGATGGGTTCGGCCAGGTCTTTCTAGAGACAGTGCCCCCTCTCCCTCCAATACACACACACCGACTGCCCCTAACTTACCCCTAAAGCGGCACAGGAAGCAGATGCACAGGAGGAGAAGCACTGCCAGGAGCACCAGGCCCAGCAGGGAGCCCAGAACAATGCCAGCTATGGCCGTTGGACCCAGGGTGGGGCCTGGAAAAGACAAGAGAAGGGGGCTAAGGGATCAGGAGCCAGGGCTGGACCCAAGTTTCCTGACTACCCACTCCAACCCTTCCAGGAGTCTGGGAGCCCAGCACCCTCAGCGTTCATTTAAGGTTGCAGATGTGGTCAAGATAATCTACAAAGCCTCTTTCCAAATAAGGTTGTATTCATAGGTACTGAGGTTTGGGGTGCCAACAGAGCTTTTTGGGGGAAAAGCAATTCAAGCAATCAAGTCAACATGAGATCATTAGCACGGGTCCTAACCCAGCCACAAGGCCAAGGAATGCCAAGGATTGATGGCAACCATCAGAAGCTAGAAGATGCAAAGCAAGGATTGTGACCACCCCTCTGGGAGGGGGAAAGGCCCTGCCCACACCTTGATTTCAGACTTCGGACTCAAGGGCTGTGAGTAAAAACACTTCTGTTCTTTCAAGCCACTGAGTTCATGGTACTTTGTTACTGCAGCCCCACGAAAGCCATCCAAGGAGGGTCCAAGGAAACAGATGGAGGCAGGCATCCCAGGAGACTCTGACAGCCCCAACTCACCAGCCTGGTAGACCCGGCTTTGTGATGGGGTCCCTGGTTGGCCCCCCAGGGTGGGCAGGATACGCAAGGCCCAGGTCCCAGGATTCCGAGGAGGGAGGGGCACCACAGCTGACCGTTCCTGAGGCCCCAGGACCAGCAGGGAAACCCAGTCCTTGTAGGTGGAGGCTCTGCCCAGGTCAGGGCCCTCTAGCTGTGCTTGGATCTCAAAAGCACTGATCAGGGCCCCGCGGTCCACATCCCAAGTCAGTACTGCTGCATCCCGGGTTCTCTGCAGCCTCCATGAGGAGATGGAAGGTCCTGGGGAGGGGTGGGGGTCAAAGTGGAGGGCTGGATTTGAGGGTCCTAGAGGGGTGAGGGAAAGGGGTTGTGGGCCTCCACTCAGGTCCTGGGGCACAGGGTCTGGAGACACAGACTTCTGGGCCTATGAAAGGAAGGGAACAGGGGGCCTGGGCTCCTAGGTCTGAGGGAGGAGGGGGTTGGTTTGGGACTCCTAGGGCTGAAGGAACTAGGGTCTAGTGTTGGGAGTCCTAGGTTCTGGAGGCAGAGGGGCCTGGGGAGCAGGATTTCTCCCTGTTTTAGGGAGGAGGGGGGATGCAGACTCCTGGGTCTGAGGGAGGAGGGGCTGAGGGCCTGGGACCCCGAGCTGTGGAAAAGACAGACTCACCAATGAGGGTGATCTGGTCACCTCCAGCACCCAGCGCCCCACCGCACAGCACAGAGTAATTTCCCAGGTCCCAGTCCAGGCTGAAGTTGCCAATGAGGAGCCTCTTGCCATCCTGGCTGAGCTGCAGGCGCCCCCCACCTCCTGGGGCCAGGGGCCTCCCTTCCCGAGCCCAGGATGCTCGAGAAGGTGGGGGACAGCCAGAAGCCTGCAGTGCCACCTCTGTCTCCCCTGACCGTGTCTCCTCCACCATCGGATGCAGGAGCACCTCTCGAGGAGTCTCTGCAGGTGCAAGAAAACCAATCAAGAAAGTCAAGACCTTAGCCTGGATGAAAAGACAAAGCCTGTACCGTTTATAGAATCAAATAGCAGTGACAGCTCAGCACCTTAGCCACCAAAGAAAGCACTGCTCACTCACTCACCCCCCCCACCCCCTTCATTTCACGTCCTTAAAAAGGACTCAGTATATGCTATAGGCTAGGTTCCTGGCTGGGAAACTCATTCTCAATCACGTGTTGCTCTAAACACGTGGGAAGGTGTCAGCCCTCTTCCTGGGGCCAGGAAAGAAATTTTGCCCCTGCCTCTGCTGGAGGTATAGGGAAAACCTCCGCCGTTCTCTAGGGTTAAAGACAAAGGAAATCCCTTTTCCTGGACTTAGTAAGTCCCCCCTTTTTCGTGTCCTAATGTAGCTAAGAAATAGCCCCTCCTTCCCGAGAAACAGAAGAGAACCCGGTCTCACCCGGGGTGACTGTGCAAGTGCGCGTGGTCACCAGGTGGCGAGCAAGGCAGGTGACGGGGACGCCGCTGAGCCGGGGATGGGCGGGGACAGCCACCAGGAGCGCAGAGGTCATCGGCTCCGCGCGGACGCTTTCGGGGAGCCCCTGGAACTGCAGGGAGGCGGCCGGGACCCCACCCGGCCACGAGCAGCGGAAGCGGAGGCTACGGTCCCCGGGACCGCCTTCGACTGAGCACTGCGGGGACCCGGGGGGCAGATCTGTGGAGCGGAGGGAGAGACCAAGGGGTCAGCCTCTCTCCCCTCTAGACCCCCTTCCCCGCGCGTTCACTTCACCCCTTCTTCACCTTGGCTCCGCCCCGTAGGCGCTGACCTCTCCCCATTCTCTTGCTGACCTTACTACCTTTCCCAGCAGCTCCCGGACGTAGTGAGCAGCCGCCGCCCCACTGACTGCGCCCCGTTGCTAAGCGTAACTCCGCCCCTTCCTTTCTAGCTCCACCCCTTCTGCCGGGTTACTCGGCCCCTTTAGACAGACTTCTTTGCCCTCCCTGGTGGACCCCGCCCCCTTACTGTAATGACCCCGTCCTTTCCATTGTGACCCCGCCCCCTTTCCCCCGCTGACTTGTTTCTTTGCTCGTGGTCCCTCTTACTGGCCCAAGCATCTTAGTCCCTTCCCTTTCTGGCTCCCACCCTTCGCCATTTAACTCCGCTGCTTAATGTGTGGAGATTGCTCCTTGCCCAGGAATCTCTGCCCTCCCAGCGCTGGCCCCATCACCTCTCCTGGCCATTTTTGCTCCAACGTGCAAATTCCTCTGGTCCTTGTTGGCTCCGCCCCCAATCCTGGGCATCCCGCCCCTTTCACGCGGAATCGGCACCCCTCTTTGCTGGCCACGCCTCCTTCAGGATGGCCCGCCCGTCTCGCGGGGAATCTGCTCCTTGTTGGCCACGCCCAATTGCCACGCCCTCTCTGGGTGTCCCGCCCTTCCGTCCCACACCGACAGCGGTCACCTGCCACTGTGAGGTTGAACAGCGAGCGGCGGCGGAGGCCGGTGCGCGGGTTCGAGGCTAGGCAGGCATAAGCGCCGGCGTGGCCCGTCCCGACAGCGGGCAGCAAGAGGCGCGGGCCGGCGGGAACCGCGGCCTCGGCCGGGTCGGCCAAGCTCCACGTAATGTCGGCGGGCGGCCGCGAGGCGGCGGTGCAGCGCAGCGTCACGCTGCTGCCCGCAGTGACGTAGAGGGCGGGGACGGCGTCGCGGTCCGAGGACACCGTGATGACCGGCGCATCCGGGCCGTCTGGGTGGAGGAAGGGAGTCGGAACCGCCGGAGTCGAGGTCACCCAGGACCCCTGCAGGACCTCCGGAGACTGGACCTCCAGGGGCCTCCTCCCCAGGACCGGGCCCGAGCGGTGGCAAGCCCCTACTCACAGAGGACACTGACGTCGGCCGCGGCCTCCGTGTGGCCGAAGGGACTGCGGACGCGGCAAGCGTACCGGGCGTGGTCGCTGCGCACAGGGCGCGCGATGAGCAGCTGGTCGCCCTCTGCGCGGATCCGGGGCGGCTCCGCTCCCTCGGGGTCCGCTCCCTCCAGGATGCGTCCGTCCCGGCTCCAGCTCAGCTCCCCGCGACCAGGACCCCACCCAGTGCAGCGCAGCCGGAGCTCGGCCGCCCCCTCCTCTACCTCCGGGGCCTCGGGCTGCACCAACAACTGGGGCAGGGGCTCTGGGAGAGGGGGAACAGGCTCAGGATCCAGCCCCCTTGTCTGTTAGGTCCAGGACTCCAGGCCCTGGTTCCCTCCACGCCTTACACCCAGGACTTGAGGGCCTAGTTGTGGTCTCCTCAGCCCCAGTCTTCCTCCTCCAAGACGCCTGAGTCCGAGTCCCCAGCTCTCTCCTCTCAGGGACTCAGGAATCCGGGCCCCCAGGAGTCTTGATCCCCAGATCCAACTTCCCTCATGAACCCCCGTCTTGGCCTTCATCTCCTCCTCTCCATCCCTCCAGCCTAGAAGTCGTGTCTCCTCTGCCCAGAAACCGCTTCCTCTGGGAAGGAAACACTCAGAAGTGCAGTGACCTGCCCAAAGGTCTGAGAGAGCAGCCTCGGCCCCGGCCCTCCAGACCTCAGGGACCACTTACCATACACAGCCACGGTGAACTCCCGAATCTGCCGGGAGCCCCCGGCCCGGATGACTTCAGCTGTGTAGACCCCAGCATCCTCCAGCTGGGCAGAGGAGAGTTCCAGACCCCCTCGGGCCTGGTCAAATCGTAGGCGGTCGTGGTGAGCAGGGTCCAGACTGATCAGAGGGGCCCCTGGCCCCAGGCCCCCGGCTGCCAGCACCTTGGATCCTCGTCGCCAAACAACCAGAGGAACAGGGGGACCAGGTCTGGGGACTGGAACTAGGGGGAGCTGGATGGTGGTCCCAACAAGCACCGAGAGAGGTCCCCCCACCTGCTGCAGGAAGCTTTCCGCTGGGTGGGCTTTGGCAGGAACTTCGGATTCAGGGCTCTTGGCAGAGAATTCAAGATCCAGGTCCTGGGAGGAGAATGTCGAACCTGCGTCCTCCATAGGTGCTTTCTCAGGGACTTGAGCTGAAATGTTTACAGCTGGGGTCTTTGCTGAGAAGGAAGGCTTCAGGTCTTTGGAGCCAGGGATTTCAGAGAAGTTGGGATCCAGGCTCAACTTTGGGCTACCAGCAGAAACATTTGACCAGAAGGACCCAGGCACGTCGATCAAATTCAGGGCCTCAGGTATCCATTTGGAATGAGGAATATCAGCAGAGGCTTTGGAACCTGAAGACTGATCCAGAAATTTCCAGCTCGGGGGTTTGGTGGAGGGAACTTTTGAACCCGGGCCCTGGGAAGAGCTCCCTGAGTCCAAAGAGAAATTGGTTCGCTGAACTCCAGAAGAGGTTGTGAGGGCGAGGACCCCTACTCCGGAGGCTGCAGAAGAGAGGAGGGGAGGCTGTTGGGGGCTGCTGAGGAGGAGGACAGCTGGGAAAGGGCTGAGCCGGGGACTCACCCATGAGCAGGAAGAGCCGCAGAGCCCATGAGGTGTCCATGGTGCTGGCCGCACCCGTCAGAACTCTGGAGAAAGACCCAGGACCTGCACCTGTGCCTCCTGGGTCCGACAAGTTCGACAGGACTGGTAGCTTCCTGGGCAGGGAAGGGAGCCAGACCTGGTGGGAGGTGCCAGGATTCCCCACCCTGATCTGGTGGTGGAGCTGCCCACCCCATCCCACCCCACTGGTCATCAGCTGGTGCCATCAGACCCTGCCTCCTCACCTCCAGGGGGAAGATGGTAAGAGGTGAGTCCCAGCTGGAAAAGTGGTAGCAAATCTGTGGGGGTCAAAGCCAGAAAGGCTTCCTGGAGGAAGGTGAGGTGACCTTACAAAAGAGCCCTACCTCTGACAGCCTTGGGCTCAGTTCAGGCTCCCTCTTCCCCAGCCTCCTGGCCTTGGGTACACTCTGTGCTGCCTGCAGCCTCAGATACCTGTGTCTGAACTTGCTCTTCCTCTGCTCTAAACTGTCCCATGGTCCCCTATTGCCCTTAGGACCAAGTATCAAGTGGCAATCACCCACCCAGTCATCTCTCCGGAATCCCAGAGCTGCACCTCCATGGCCCCAGGGCTCCGCATCCCACAAAACTCAGTGTCTTCCCTCTGAGCCGGCACTCCTGGGTTCCACCATCTGGGCAGAGGCTGGGAGCCGTGTCCCCCGCTCCTTCCCCTTCACTGCTGTCCTCTCTGAATCCCACCCCCTCCTGCCCCTGAATCTCTCTGCCCCGTCCCTTCCAGTCCATCCCCAGCAGAGGCCCATCCTCCCCATACCCCTCACGTGGCCTCCCTCCAGCCTTGTCCCCTCCAGTCCGTGGATCCCCATGTGGCCCCTGGGTCTATGTTCAGAGCTGCCCCTGCCCTGCTCGCAGCCCTCGATGGCTCCCCATTGCCCTCAGGAGACATCCAAGAGAACTTTGAGAACCGAGTGGCCTAGACTCACCCCTTCTCCCCCTCCACTTACTCTTTGAATCCCGTGCCATCCTCGTGCCCCATCTCCCCTCCCAGCCTTTGCAGGCGCAGTTTTCTCTGCCTGGAATGCTCTCGCTCACTCCCTGCCTGCTTGCAACCTGGCAAAACCACAACTTGTCCTTCAGGTCTCACCTTATTAAAACCATAATAATTACCACTTATCATGCATGAGGAACCATGCAAAATGCTTCCTGGGCATTATCGGGCTGAACCCTTCCAAACACCCTATGAGCTGGGTGTTGTTATCGTCATTTTACAGGCCGGGGGACTATGGCTCAGAAAGGTCAAAGGACCTGCCAGTGTTTGCACAGCCAGAGGGAGGAGCTGGGCTTCAACCCAGGATGGTCCAACTGCTCACTCCCTCCAAAAGCTTCTCCTACCATCCCATGCTGGGCTTTGGGCCTCTGCTCAGCTCCCGGTCCTTGCCATACTAATAAAAATAATAGCAATAAAACAAAGAGCATTTTCTGTGTCAGGTGTAGTTCTGGGGTGCTACAGTATTTAGCCCTTCAGAACCCCACGGGGTGGGCCTTATAGCTTACATATGGCTACAAATTGGACTTTCCCTAAGGAATAGGGTCCATGTCTGCTCCCCTTCAATCAGAGTAGGTGTGACCAAGAGAAGGCCATGGAAGTGACCCCGTGCCAGTTTCAGCGTCTAGACCTTGAGAGATTGGCAGATTTCACTTCCTGTACCACAGAGCACTCCCTCTTGGAACCCAGCTGCCATGCTGTGAGGAAGCTCAAGCAGTTCCATCAAGAGGAACCATGACCCCTGGTCAGCAGCCCCAGCCAGCCTGCAAAACTGAGCCACCCTGGACGTCCATCCTCTGGCCCCACGTGAGCCACCCAACTGATGCTGCATGGAGAGGCAGGCTGTCCTTGCCATGCCCGGCCGGAATTTCAAATTTAGGAGCAAAATAAGTGATTGTTGGTTTGAGCCACAGGTGTGGGGGCAGGCTGTTATGCTACAACAGACCATCAGCACACAGCATTCTTACCAAGTCCACCTGCCGGAGGAGGAAGCTGAGGCTCGGAGAGAAGGAACTTGCCAAAGGTCCTCCCAGAACCAGGGATTGGCCAGCCTGGGATCTGAACCCAGGGCCCCCGGGTCCAGACTCTTAACCACTACACTAAGCTCTTACTATTTCCATCAGCCATATGAGAAGCTGAAGCTGAGACGGGATGTAATACTCTCCAAATCTCACATGTGGTTAATGGAGGGTTTAAAATCAGGCCCAACTCATCATCCCCACGCTGGATTTTGACTGCTTGCTGCTTGTCTGCCTCCCTGGCCAGAACCAGAGGCTCCAGCCTCATACCCTCCTGTGTTCTGACTCTCAGCAGGGGCCTGGCACCCCCCAGTCCCCAGCAAGAACTTGGCAGATGAAAGTCATCTTCTCTGCCACCTCACTGATATTTGTCTTTGAAGATTCAACCTAGATGCCATCTCCCTTGGCAGTCTCTGGCCCCAGGGGCCAGGTCAGGTGCCCTTCATGGGCTCCCAAGGGCCCAGGGCTACCTGGCTTCCAGCACACAGCTCACAACTGCCTTTGCCTAAGCCCACCCCACTTCAACATGGAAGCTTCTTGAGGGCAGGGACTGGATGTGATTCACCTGAGTCCCTGGTACAGGGCCCAACACACAAGAGGCTTAAGTAAATGTCTATTGAATGAATCAAAGAACAGGTCTCCGGGGAATGAGGTAACAGAGACAGTTGCTGGGAGAGGCATAGTTTTATTGCTGAGTTCCAGGCAATGGGCTCAAATCTGCCCCGTCTTCCGCAGTTTGGCCACCAGGTCTTCCGTGGTCTCCACCTTGACTCCAGCCGTGCGCTGGGGCGGGTCCTCCACGGTAACCACAGAGAGCTTAGAGGTCAGGTCCACGCCCAGGTCTCCGGGCTTGATCACCTCGATCTTCTTCTTCTTGGCTTTCTGCACACGGGCAGCCATGGTTCACAGGGCTGCCAAGGCCCTGCCCATCCTGCAGCCGCCTTCCCACAACTGCGACATCTGCAGAGCCACTCCCACTGGCTGAACCCTCTCGACCTAACCACTGGCCAGGACACAGGCGGCCTCCTGTAGGGCCACACCGGGACAATTCCTGGTGGCTGGGGCGTCCTGGGAAGCCCTCCTATTGCAGGAGCCCTCCTTCAGCCAGTGGCCTCAGGAAGCCCCTCACTGGCGGGAATGGGCTGGCAACTCGGCCTTTTGGCAGAATCACTCCATGGACTTTCTGGTAAGTTGACCCGCTGAACCTGCCTATTGGCTGAGATGACCCACTGAACCCGTCCTATTGGTTGGGAATGACACACCGAACCCTCCCTATTGGCTGAGATAACATACCGAACTCTCCCTATGAGCCCATCCTACAGGCCATCATAAATAGTGAGCTCTTCCCGTTAGCCAGGAGACTCCATGACCCTTTCCTAATTACCCACCATGACCTAAATGATTCCCTCTTGTTGACAAAGATTATCAGGGGAATCCCCCCAGTGAACCAAGACGACCTAATAAACCCTTCTCCTTTGGTCAGAATTACCCTATGAACTTTTCCCATTGGTTGGAATGAAGGCTTCCTGTTGGCCCAAACAGCCCCCAGACCCTCCCTCTGGGCAGAAATGACTCAGTAAACCCCCCGTTAGCCAGAACGACCAGGGGATCCTTTCTTGGGATGAGGAACCCCTTGGGCCCTCTGCCTCCCACCTGACCACCAGGGAGCCACTGGGCCTGCGATGCACCCCCAGTTCCCAGCCCTGCAGGACCCGTGTGCCAAGCGCTCACCATGATGTTGGGCAGCGTGGCGTAGCGGGGCTCGTTGAGCCGCAGGTCGGCGGTCACCACCGCGGGCAGCTTCAGGCGCAGCGTCTCCAGGCCCCCGTCAATCTCCCGCTCCACTTTCACCTTGTCCCCTTCCAGGGTCACCTGGGAGGCGAATGTGCCCTGGGGAGGGACAGTGGAGTGAGTGTAGGGAGGTTAAGTCAGGGCAGGCCCCCACGTGCCACTGCTGAGCACCCGCGTGGAGGAGCCAACAGGCTTAGGAACGGGACCTGCTGACACCGAGCTCAAAGACGGGGGAAGCCACAGAAAGGGAGTAAATCAAAGTTGAGGGAAGGGTGTCGTTACTTTCACTGGGAGCGAGGTACAGTCCTAACATCTGAACCTGCCATGTAGGTTCCTACCTGTTACAATTGACCTTAATGGTAACTACACGTATTAAGTCATGAGATCCTCATAGGAACTCCAAAGTAAATGCTGTCATCCCCACTTTACAGATGAGGAAAACGGAGGCAGAGAGAGGCTTGAAATGTTCTCTCTGCCAAAAATATGCTGGTGAATCCCAAAGCTGGCAGCACGGCCCTAGGCTCCACGTCCAGCTTCACGACCATCACTCTGTCCCCAAGAACAACCCCGAGGCCCCTCTGCTGGGCCGATGACAGAGCCTCTGTGCTCACCTTCACCCCAGAAATGTGCTCTGGGACGCCATCGTCTGGGCTCAGTGCCCATCTCCGGCCAAGGCCCCTCTGCCCCTCTGTCCCAGTCCACCTCCTGACATGTCTACGCCCTTTGCCCACCCATCCTGTTCTCTCCAGTCCCTCACTGGATAAACCTTCAAGTCTTAGGTGACATGTTCCACCATTCCCAGTCTCATGTGAGGGCCTGAGGGCCGAGCTCTGGGACTGCACGGTGAGCGTGACCAGCAAGGCCCCGGCAGGAAGACCGCCAGAAACCAGGCAAACGCACGCCAGCCGCTAACGTGTGGCTTCTGAGCACATGGAATGTGGCTAGTGAATCGAGGGATGGAATTTTTCATTCCATTTAATTTAAACTTAAAAACCAGTAAGTTAAAAAAAAAACAGTAAGTAAAATACATTATCATGATTGTAGTAATGGCTTCATGGGTGTATATGTGTGGCAAAGTTTACCAAATGGTACCCTTTAAATACATGTAGTGTATTGTAGGTCATTATACCTCAACAAAGCTGTTCAAAGATGATACTCAGGGTAGATACCAGGAAACTTTTAAGTCCGTTTGGAACAACTCAGGCATGTGAATCTACTTTTGCAACTGTGAATTTCAGGAATCTAAGTTTTTCTGATGGAAAGTAAGCATATGAATTGAGGTGTGTTGTAGATATAAAATATACATTGGATTTTGAAGACTTTGTACAAAAAGAAAAAAGAAGGTAAAATAGCTCAATTTTTAAAATATTGATTACATGTTGAATAATACTATTTTAGATCCATTTAATAATAGAAGTACTATTAAAATGAATTCTGCCTGTTTCTTTTTAGTTGTTTAATGTGGCTATTTTTAAATTACCCATGTGGCTTGCATTTTTAATTGACTGTGACCCAGTGGGACCTGGAATTTGGGAGGGGCGTGAGTATTTCATACAGGGTGGGCAAGGAAGGCCTCTCTGAAGATGTAGTACCTGAGCAGAGGCCTGAAGGAGGGAAGCAAGAAAGCCATGAGGCAATCTGAGGGAACTGCATTCCTGGCTGAGGGAACAGCAAGTACAAAGGCCCTGAGGGATGAGTTTGTGTGGTGGCTGAGCAGCAGGGCTGGTGAGGATGCGGCACACAGAGGCCCAGACAAGACCTGGTGTCCTGACTGGGTGCACCTCCCTCCGGCCTACTGGAATAGCTGTCCCACTGTGCACCTGTCTCCCTCCAGAGGGCAGGGACAGTGTGGCTGTGTTCTGAGCCCCCAGGCCTGGCCCCCTGCCAGTGCTCCCAACTCCAGCCTCACCTGCGGCCAGTCCAGAAATCCGGCTGTCATCTGCCCTGTCTGGTTACAGTCATCATCGATGGCCTGAATGGGAAAGAGAGACTATGTAATGTACCATTCAGGCCTTTGTCTGGCTGGGGAAGGTGGAGGGTTGGCAAATGTTTTCTGTAATGGGCCAGATAGTAAATGTCACTGTGGCATTCCAATAAAACTTTATTTACAAAATCAGCAGTGGCCACAGGTCATGGTATGCTGACTCCTAGTCTAGAATGGTCCCATCCTCTCACCTGGGCCTGGAGACAGTCACTTGTCCAGGGTCCCATGAGGAAACTGGCAATGCCTGATGCCAAGTCTTTCCCAGTGTATAAATCATCACAGAGGCCTTCTGTGAGCCAGGCCCTGGGCTGGCCACACTGGACAACTATATGAACAGGCTCTGCGCCCATGAGAATGTTCTCTCCCTGGACCCCAGTGACTGGTTTGGAGATGGGCACATGACTCAAGCTGGACCACTGAAGAGTCCTGGGAGCTTTGCTGGATCCCATAGGAAAGGGTCTTTTTTTTTCTGCTGGCGGTCGCTAGGCTGGTGGGATGTGAGCCTGGAGATGCAGAGAGCGAAGCCACGACAGAGAAGCAGAGCTCATGCATGTCCCTGGATCACACTGTGCCTGAAGCTCACTTACATGAGATAAAATAACTGCTTTTTGGTTTAAGCCCATTTCAGTGGAAATTTTGCCACCTAAAACAAAGAGTGTCCTGACTGGTTCAACTGGCACCTCCCCAGGTGGAGGCCCTTAGTCCAGGAATTGTCCCTGACAACCAGGGCAGGCAGGATATCAGAGTCTGGGACCTGTCAGCAAATGCAGGGGGCTCCAACAGGCCATGCTGCCGGCATCCCTGACCTAGAGAACTGGTGTGAGGCCTGGTCCCAGAGCACCCCCGCCGTGGCTCTCTGGTTAGGCCCTCTGCCTCAGTGTCCTGATTCATACTCTGACTCCCCTGCTGTTTGTCATGTCTGTTTTCTACTGTTTGAGTCAGGCGACACACTGAGTGACCTACCTGGACCCATCAGCCTGCGCTCTCCCCGGGGGCTGATCTGCCCCTTTTACTCCCTGACCTTCTTCCCCACCCTCCACCCCGAAGCCCCTGCCTCTTGATCTCTCACCTTCCCTCTCTGTCTGTGGCTCTTCCAATGACTCTCCTCTGCCCTGTCCTCAAATGGCATGGGGTGGAAGGCCACCCAGAGGAAGGGTGCCCCTGGGTCTCCGGAAGGAACAGTGGAGCCGAACGCATAGCCGCCCGGCTGGGTGCCTGGGACAGCCAGTGCTGTAGCTGCACCCTCACTCCAGCTCCCTCTGTTAGCCCCCCTGCTCCCCACTCCTGGCCTCCAGTCTCGCCCCATCCAGTCCATTCCTCATGGGGTCTCTCTGCACTTGGGGTGCTCACAGACCTCCCATGGCTCCCCAGCACCCTCCAAAGCCCCAGGCCTTTGTTCAAGCCCAGGCCTCTGTCCTGTCCCTGATGGCCCCCTGGGCTCTTTACCTCTTCTGACCTGTTTTCCCCTCTGTGTCTCCAGGACAGACCCTGGCCCCATCCCTACCTCTGCCCCAGGCCTGGGTCCCTTGCAGCCTTGGCTCATGGCCTCCCACTCCGTGGCAGGGACTGGGCACATCTACCTGCTTGCCCAGTAGCACCAGGTCCACCTTCTCCTTCTCTGCCAGCTTGGCCAGGACCCGGGCCACCTGCAGGGGACCCAGGCGATCTGCCTCTGCAGCTGGCATGTCCACGTGAATGCCTCTGTCCGCACCCATGGCCAGAGCCGTGCGGATGGTCTCCTGCCAAGGACAGAAGGGGCTTGACTTGGGTTCTGGCCCAGGGGGACCCAGGAGCCTGGTCCCAGTCCCTCCCCTAGACCCAGGAGTCCAGGTCCTTGGCCCCCTTCCCCAGACGTGGGACTCAGGGCCCCAGCAGCCCCCATCGGGACCCCGAGCACCTGGCACTGGGCCGGCCCACAGCTGACAGCAATGATCTCCTTCACCAGCTTCTTCTCCTTGAGCCGCACAGCCTCCTCCACGGCTATCTCACAGAAGGGGTTCATGGAGTGCTTCACACCGTCTGTGACCACACCCGTCCTGTCCGGCTTCACCCGGATCTGCCAGCCAGAAATGGGCAGGGTCAGGGGGCGGAAGGAGAGAAGGCGAGGGCCGTGGTATCACCCCTCACACAGGCTGGACAGGGACAAAGGGGCCCGGAACGGGGCAGGGCCTTGCCCAGGGTCCCACAGCTCCAGTGACGGTGGGGTTAGAATTCACGGGTGGATGGAGGGTCACCCTCTCCTTCTCTCACTCAGACACTGGCTGAGCACGAGGGACATTTGACAAGCTCATCCTATTCTGTCAGCACCCCTGAGCCTGAAAGAATGTTTCCCAAATCTTTAACACAAAGAGAAATACATTGTACGATACCAAGTGTATTATAAATACATAGCATATATTTACATGTAAATATACATACCACTGCAATGTGAGGGCTGGTGAACAATACCTTCTCCCATTGTATACACCACCCCTAACGTTTTCTATTCTTGTTTTTTAAATGCCAGCCCTCCATTGGGATTGCATGACTGTCGTGACCCAGTTTGAAAATTATATGATCAAAGCCTACCTCTTCCAAACAAGCAACCCCCACTCATTCCTTTCCTCCCACAGTGTGTCTTTCTTGAGCACCTACTGTGCGCCTGGCCCTGAGCTGGGTTCTGCAGGTACAGCCTGGGGCAGGGGAGAGAGGCCTGCAGGGGTGGGGCGTGACCACTCCCATCTCCCTCTTTGCTTCCTGGGGCTGATGTGCGAAAGCACCTCTGCCTCCGTGGCTTAGTGCCTCACAGTTCCGGAGGCCAGAAGTCCACTCAGTTTCCTTGGGCTGAAATCAAGGTGCCGGCAGGTCACAGTACAGGTGTGCTGTTCCTGTATCTTCGTTTTCCTCTCACATGGCCTTGTCTGTGCGTGTGGATCTCCCTCTGCCTCTGTCTCATGAGGACTCTTCAGATGGCGTTTAGGGCCCACCCAGGTAAGCCAGGATCATCGCCCCATCTCAAGATCCTTAACTCAGCCACATCTTCAGAGACCGTGCTTCCACACGAGCTAACATTCACAGGTTCCCTGGATCAGGGCCTGTCACAATCCTCTTGGTAGCAAAAGAGAGTATTATTATTGCCACTGGGCACTGAAGGAGTATCCTGCAGGAGCCCTGTGCTAAGCAATTATCCCAATTTATTAATCCTGGAGACAGCCTGATGAGGGAGGTGCTGTCACTGTCCCCCATGGGCAGATGAGGAAACTGAGGCTCCAAATTGAAGGAGCTGGCCTAAGGCCACATGGCCAGGCAGCGGTGCCCCAAGTGCTCAAGTCCTTGATACAGCACCTCACGATTCCTGAAGGAGAAGTTGGGGAGCTCTGAGAGAGAATGATGGGAGCCTAGTGTGACATTGGATGCTATCAGGAGGGCTTCCCTGAGGCAGTGGCACTTGAGCTGAGACCTGAAGGATGAACTCCTGTTGAGTAGGTGAAGTGTGAGCAGAAGTGTTGAGGGTTTGGGGTGGGGTGGGGGTGGGGGGTCAGTTAGAGCATGTGCAAAGGCCCTGAGGTTTGAGGAGTCTATGGAGGCCAGTGTGGCCAGGGGAGCAGCGTACAGCCAGTCCAGTCTGGGTTGTCATGAAGAACACAAAAATGGATCTTCAAGATGTCCTCACCCTCATCCCTGGGACTATGAATGTCACCTTAATGGCTAAAGGGACTTTGCAAATGTGACTAAGTTAAGAACTGAGAGAGGGAGTTCATCCTGGGTCGCCTGGGTGGGCCCAACATAATCACAAGGGTCTTTATAAGTGATGTATGGTGAGGGAGTTATTGTCAAGGTCAGAGAGAGACTGGAAAATGCTATCTGTTGCTCTGAGGATGGAGGAAGGGCCATGAGCCAAGGAATACAGGTGCCTCTGGAAGCTGGAAAAGGCACGGACACGGATTCTCCCCTCGCGCCTCCAGAAGGAGTCAGCCCTGTGACAATGGCATCATAGCTCAGGAGACTCACCCCAGACGGCTAGCCTCGGAACTGCTAAGAGAACACATCTGTGCTGTTTATAGCTACTAAGTCTGTGGTTACCTATCAGAGCAGCCTCAGGACACTCACACGACTGCACAGGGCCCAGCAGGCCATGATGGAGAACTGGGTCTCAATCTGAGAACAGTAGGTAAAGAGGTAAGTGGCCCACAAGAAGTTTTCATAAGGGTGCTCGGCTGTCTGGCTGAGAAAACTAGAAAACTGGCAAGGGCGGAAGTTGGGAGACAGCTGGGCAGTGGTTAGTCATTGAAAGAAAGCATGACAGTGGCCCAGAGGGCGGGTGCAGCAGAGGTGGAGAGGTGAATGGCCTGTGGAGGTGGCACTGACATGGCGCTGACGGGGAGCTAGGGGCTGCAAGAGGGAAGAGCCATGCGGGACTCTCAGGTTCCCGGCAGCCACAGCAGTACAGGCCGGGGAGGAAGCTGCCCTGAGAGGCCCGTGAGAGATGCCCAGAGCACCGTGCCTGGGCGCCCGTACCATCTGGCCCTGGCCCTGCTCTTTTTCTCTTCTCCCGTGTGGCTGCCACCAAGGGCTTGGCCAGAGCAGGCCCACGTGGCAGCCTGGCCCAGCTGGGGACATGAGGACCCTCTCTTTTACTCTTCCCCTGCACCCCTCTCTCTGGGGCTGGTGGATGAGGCTGACCCTCCCGTCAGCAGGGCAGAATCAGAGGCAGGAATTTGGGATTTGAGCAGGGCCTTCCCGATCTGGCTGTGCCTCGTGAACTGGTGACATTAAAAGGGGGAGGAGGAGGAGAAAAACAACAACTGTCATTTTCTGTCACTGTCATTTCATTTTTAAAAAGTCATTTTAGCCAAATATAAGACTGAAACTGCAGAACTGAACCAACTTACAGAAATACAAGTGGAGCAAATACTGTGAGTCCATGTTTCCTAAGCATGTGCACATATTCCCCGGAATTTCCCAGACTCGACCCCTGCCTCAAACCCCTCACCCAATTCCGCTTTCCTTTGCCATCTTACTGAAACCGCATCCCTCCCAGCCAGCCCCTCTTACTCTGTGTTTCTCCCCATCACGCTGAGCTGCCCCCCACCTCCCAACCTATGATACACTGTACTTTCTTAGATTTATTGTCTATCTTCCCCCTACCAGAAAGTCAATTCCCTGGGGACAGGGATTTATGTTCATTTTGTCTGTGACTGCCTCCCCAGGGCACTAGAATGGTGCCTGGCACATTGTAGGTGCCCAGTAAAACCTCCTGGGTGAAAACTTGAACACTTGACCTCAAGAGTAATGCACGTGTCCATTCGAACACATATAAACAGCCTGGAAACTCAAACGTGAAAGGCCTCTGTTTCATTAAAAAAACAAAATCCAAGATCGGAGCTTCCCCTTTGAACAGGAAAGGAACCCCCCCTCACTAAAAGTAAATCCTGTGCTGGCGTCAGTGAGGTGCCTCAGGCCTGCTCCTGCCCGGGCAGGGCTCCTGACACCCGCCTAGAAGGGGCGTCCACACCAAGGAAACATGCCAGCTCATCTCCCTGGAAGACCTTTGAAGCTTGAGTTGATTTCAAGCTTCTCTAACACTGCTTAGTTAAATCACATAAGTTAGGAAGCAATGTTAGGCTGGAAAATCAGTGACTTTTTTTTTAATGTTTTATAAATCCAGGGGGGAGATGACTCAGTGTTAAACTTCCCAGCTTTCTCTTGGAGATGCAACATTCCAGCCTTCACCAGAAACAGTCACGATGCGGACAGGCAACGCTCCCAGGGCTTTCTATGTATTAACTCATTTAACCATCCAGAGCCTAGCAGGTTGGTTATCGCCGCTACCATCCTCATTTTGCAGATGGGGCAACTGAGGCACAGAGAGGCCTTGCCCAGGGTCACACAGTGAGCGAGTGAGTGGCAAGACCACAGTCTAACTCCAAGTCTGTTTGGGGGACCGTGAGATTCTCCAGGATGCTGTTTGCCCTCAGAGGTAGGAGGGCCCATCATCTTACTTGCTGCCCATTATATCCTAGCACATTTTCATAAAGTGATTTCTGACGGCCCTTCCTGAACCCCAGACACAGCTCAAGGGCTCCTCTTTGGTTCTTTTCCTCTAGTCTTTTCCATCAAGCAAGTCACTGGGCACGTGCCAGGGCTCCGGGCAGGGCAGAGAGTGACCAGGACACAGAGTGAGTAGCATAGGCAAGGCAGAGTGGAGATGGCGGCGAGGGAGTGAGGCCGGCGGCAGGTCCCTGAGGTGGGAGTCAGCACTCTGAGACCCCTCCTTCAGAGACTGTGGGTGACTGCAGGGGGCCCAGGGGAAGGCAAAGGGCCCTGTGCTCCCAGGACAGAGGGAAGGCATGGCTGGTCAGGGTTAGGCCCAGAGACCCAACGGGCTTTCTGCGGCTTCACGGGCCCATCCTTGGGAGGTTCCTCTCAGAAACTGAATACCAAGTCATGAATACAAAATTGATCCAGCTTCTCCCCAGGCCTTGAAGGAAACCCTGAAGGTTAAACTTCCTCAGCCTCATGGAAAATATATCCCTGGCCGGCACTGAGTGCCACTGGGTTACCAAATGCCTATTAATACCCCACACATACAATCACAGGCTCGCTGTGTTGTGAATAAACGAACTTCCAGTACTATTACTAATAACGATATTCACTGGGTGCCAGCCAACACCTATCGTGTGCCAGGCATGTCCTAAGAACTTATTTCATCTGCACTATCACCTAGTAAAGGAGGTACATTAATTATCCCCATTGTACAAAGGACAAAAACTAGGCTCAGAGTGGTTAAGCAGCTCCCCCAGGGGCACACAGCAGGAAGCAGACCCAGGCAGCAGAGTCCACACTCAGAATCCCTCTTAGAGTGTACCCATGGTCTCGGACAGCAGTGACGCCATCACAGCCTCCCGTTCCCACCCTGGGGCTCAAATCTGGAAGGGAGACAGGAACTGAAGCAGTAAGTCGGTACATTATATCGAGGATTGTGAAGTGGTAAGAGTTTGGGGAAATTATAGCAAGGAAGGGGACAGAGACTATGGAGGCTGTGAGTTTAAGTTAGTGTCCAGGGAGGGCCTCACAGAGAAGGTGACGTGACGTGTGAGCAAAGACTGAATGGAGTTCAGGGAGCGATGCTGAGAACACAGTGGGTCAGACCCAGCACTCCCCGACAGAAGCTGCCCATCTGGGGTTGGGAGCTGACATCTGGGTAAACAGAGGATCCCAATCCAGTGTGGGGAGGCCTGAGAAGGGCAAACCCAGGGGCTGCAGGAGAGCCCAATGAACACATCAAGGAAGCCCAGGGGGCCTTCCTGGAGGAGGTGATGCCACAGAATCACTGATACAATCAATAGGTGAGAGTTAGGCAAGACAAGGGAGGGATAAGCCCCAGGGTGGCAGGTGGGACAGGAAGGGTGAACAGGCAGTGGCAAAGGCCCAAGGCAAGAAGGAGCCCAGTTTGTCAGGAATGTATGAGCAGGCCAGGAGCTGTGCAAGCACAAAGCTTGCTAGAGAGACAGGGCTGTGGTGGCAGGACAGGGCCTGGGCCACACCATGAAGGATCTCGAAGGCCAGGCTGAGGGGCTGGGACTTTGCCCGGAGGGTGCTGGGAAGCCACAGGAGCAATGAGCAGGGGAAGTGCAGGGGAAGCTCCAGGTGTAGCAAGAGCCCTGAGGCTGGAGCGAAGGGCTGGAGGGAAAGCCTGCGAGCTGGGGAGCTGGGGTCCGGGTGGAGAAGATGAGGCCTGAACTGCTGGGGCCGTGAGGACGGAGGAGGGAATGGGCTGACAGAGAGGGCGGGAGGGCTGTGGCTGAGAAGCGACAGGCTACAGGGAGCCAGGGGAAGGGAGAGGGTGCCCAGTCTCTGGCCCGGTGAGCAGATAGTTGGCAGTGTCTGAATCATTTACTTCTTCAGAAAGGGCCATTAACAGACACATTTGCAGCAAGACAGGATGCAGTGAGCCCCGTGGGGAGGTGGGGGCAGGCAGCACCAACATTCTGGAAAAGTGCAGCAGCTGATTCGCACTTCCCAGGTTGTTATTCAACACACACCCACGTGCCGGGCCCTGTGCTGGGCAGCGCTGGGACCCAGAGCTGAGTCAAATGTGGGCCTGCCCAGTAAGAGGGACAGTTCCAGCCCCCCACATCTCAGGCCGAGGAGACCAGCTCTGGAGCAGAGGGGGCCTAGTGGGCTAAGGAGCCCAAAGGAACAGTCAGACCAGGGAGGAGACCAGGAGAGTTTGGTCCCAGAACCCCAAGAGCATCGTGTCTCAAAAAGGCTGGAGGCAGCACCCTGCCTTATGTTGCCAGGGCTGAGTGGCTGTGGAGTGTAGACACAGAGATGGGAGTGGGACTTGCCTGCATTACAATCCGGACTGCCGCTGCCTAGCTGGATGGTCTGGCAAGTAACAGAAACTCCACGGGCCTCAGTCTCCTCACCCGTCCAATGGGATTAGTAATATCTAGAGGATATTGAAAGGACTGAATGGGTCGGTCTCTGTCAAGGACTCAGACGCTGCCTAGTGGTAACAGTACTAACTAAAGGTGAGCTGTTCACTCACATTTAGTCAGGGTCACTGAAGTTTCCGTGCCCGGATCTGGTTCCCAGGCCCCGTCCCCAGCCTACTTCCCAGGCCGGAAGGGGCCCAGGTTTCATCCACCCCAAGGCCTCTAGCACGTGAGGCCCAGTGTGGGACAATGCTGGGGTCACGGAGGTGGACTCCCAGGCAGGGACAGACATGGATGGGCAGTCACCACCTTCAGTCTGATTTAGGCCAAGGATTGAGAACCTGGCCCGAGGGACTGTGTCTGATGATTCACTTCTGTCTGGACTAGCCAGGCCCTCAGAGACGTTGCCCCCCAACCCCGCCACGACCCCTTAGCATGGAGAATGTAAGCCATTTCATTTCACAACTCAGTCAGACTGGCTTTCATCTCTAGCAAAAGCTTCTCCCTCCCTCCCTAGCTAGTCTCTTCGCTCACCCTGTGGCTACATGCGATGATCGTGGCTTGTAGGTTCCCACAGCCCCTCGTCTGACCTCCCTTACAGCACCCTGCCTGACCTGTAATAGTCACCCGAGTATGCAATGCAACCGAGTGGGAGCAAGCCTGGCTTGTGTGCAAAGCACTAGTTGGGGTAGGAGGTCGGAGAGACCAGAGAGAGGAATCTCGACTCCGACCCTTCCTAGTGACCCCTCTGTGCCTCAATTTCTCCTTATGTTAAACAGGGACCGTGACACCTCCAGCAGGTAAGAAATAGAGACCATAACTCGCCCTGCACACAATTATCAAGACAGTGAGTCGAGAACTGGGGGAAAGGGAACGGGGTCGTGACCCCAGAAGGGTCAGGTTCGAGTGAAGAGGGATCTGATACCAGAGACGGCCCTTGAACTTTGCCCTCAGGTGTGACTGACGTTTGGGGTAAGAGAGGCAGAAATCGGAGGTACGAAAAGACACCCAGACATTTGCGTGCTCGTGGCCCCAGAAGCACACGGCCAAAGGGCCCAGGGAGGTGGGAGGGGGTCCCGGTCACCTTCACGGCGAAGTCGATGACCCTCTTGACAGCCACGAGCGCGCGCAACTCCGCCATCTTCCTGCCGCAGGCACCTGCCGGCGCAGCCAGCACGCTCTGCCTCTCGGTCCGAACGGCCCGCCTCCGCCCTTCCCAACGCATGCGCCCCGCGCTGCCAGCCAGTCAACCACGCGGTGCCTCAGAGAGGACCAATCGGGAGGTCGGAGGAGGGAGGTGTGGCAAGCGGATCCGAGCCAATGGGGAACGAATCCTGGGGAGACAGGCGGGACCGAAGGGGAAGGAGCAGGGCTTTGTGAAGGGGGTGTGGCGGCGAAGTAGGGGAAAGGTTGTGTGGGCAAGGGAAGCGCCCCTAAACTTCCCGACGCATTTGCCCCCTCTCCAGGCCCTCCCCTCTTCCTCGCCTCTCCAGATCGCTGTTCCCACGTTCACGCCCACCCAGTGTCCCCACGCCGAATACCCCAGTGTCCGCGTCTCCCCTATTTCAAGCCGCGTTCCTCGTCCCTCTGTGACCGACCCCTGCCTCCACGTTCCCTGAGCTCCATTCTCTGTCCATATCCCTACATCCGCTCCTCTCGTGGCCCAGGGCCCCTCCCGATCCCAATATCCGTGTTCCGTTCCCTTCCAAATCCATGTCCCTGGTCCAGTCCACGTTCGCTTCTCCACGGTCCCTGTTCCCCACGTTGCCACGTTCCTTATAGGTTCACGTCCTTATGTCCTCCCTGTGCCTCGATGGACCCCCGTGTCCTCCTCGTGTTCCTGCTCCCGCATTCACACCTCCCCCAGAAAGGCACGCGGAGCCGCGGGGGTAGAAGCCGTTCCTTTATTTTGCCCCAGGCCGGCTGCGGTCCCAAGCACACGGGAAATCCGCTGATGGCATCCGTGCTCTGCAAGATCGTCCGCCAGCAGAAAGCAGAAGCCTGGCGGAGGAGAGCGGAGGGCGGGTGGAGGAGGTGGGTCACGGGGTAGATGACCCGGAGGGCCTGGGGACTGGGGCTGCGGCTCCAAGGGCGTCTGGGCCGAATCTGCAGGAGTCAGGAGTGGAGTGCTTGGGGAGCCCGTAAGAGATCACAGTGGGTTTCCTGGAAGGTGGCTGGGGCCGGGCGGGGCGGGGCGGGGCGAGGGGGCCCTCTGGGCAGTTTCCTCCAACACTCTTCCCGCTGTCCAGGTTACCCGCGAGAACAGAGAAGGGTAAAGCCAGACACCCCAAAAGGTAGGGCCAGGAGAAGACGTCGTTTTTACACGCGTTCTTCACGGTGTAGGCAGTTAGGGCGATCAGCAGCAGGAGGCCTGGCCCACGGGGTTGGAGGGAGCCTGCTGCCCCGCCCCGCCCCGCCCCGTCCACAGGGCCCCGCCCCTCCTCCAGGCCCCGCCCCTCCGGTGTCCCCAGTCCCCCCGCCCCCCAACCTCGGCTCCCTTCCCACCGCCTCACCGCGACCCCTGGGCCTCTGTAGATAGAAGATAGCGCTCGTGGTACAGAATCCTCAGCGCCATCACCAAGCCCACGACGCTAAAGCCCGCTGCCGGCACCATGCTCGCGCCGGTCACCGCCAGCCTGGCTGGGGACGGAGGGCCGCGTCAGGCCGCGCCCGCGCCGCCTCGGGCACCACGCCCACCGCCGGCATGGGGCTGAAGCATAGTCCGCGGCTTGTGGGGGGACTTGGAAGTTACGCACGTTCCAAAATGGGGGTTTTGGTGGCCTCAGTGACCCATCTGAGACTGGAGGGGAAGGGGCGAGGCGAAGGGGACCGTGGTCGGTGCCGGGGGCTGCCCGTCCCTCTGGGCGGCAGGGCTCACACTGGCAGGGGATGTTGGAGCAGATGCCGACATTGCACTCCTGCCACAGGCCCCTGTGGCCCCCCGTGTAGCGGATCCAGTAGTTGGTGGCAGTGGAGAGATCCGTGAGGATGTTGGTCAAGAAGCCCAGCAAGGTGCCCCTGCTCTGAAGGCTCCGCTTTGCCCCATGTCAAGGAGGCTGCTGCCAGGCCACAGGGGCAGGATTGGCCAACACGCCTTCCTTCCCCCAGGCCCCTCCGGCTCCTTCAGGTCCCTGAGATCCCTCCCCATGCCCCTCCATATTAAATACTGCTGCCCCAGCACCCCTGCCTGGGGCCCATACTTCTGGGGACCTAGAGATCCCCTCCTCAGATCCCCCAGTGCTTCAGCCCCTCCCCAGGACCTCCCTACACTCTGTGCTCCTACGGGGGACACCAAGACTTTCCCCCATGAGTCACTGCTCAGGCAGCCCCCCACCGTCACTGTCTTCCAGAGACCTCCATCCCCCAGTGGCCTGTCTAGTGCTCTCTCCCATCCCCACGCACACAACCACCCATGTGACTCACCCTCAGCTCCCAGCTTCTTAGACAAGAGTCCAGAGGAGTGGGGGAAGGGAAACTGGGTCTCTGTGAGGCAGCAGGAGTTCTGGAACCCCTCACCCAGCAGGCATTTAAAGAGATGACCACCCATACACACACACACATAGAGGTAGCTCTTCCAGCAAAGGGACAGCTCAGAGTCAGATGGTAGGGCAGGCTCGGGGCAGCCTGAGGGCCACAACATGGTAGACCATGTCCTTCTAGGAAGTTCTCTCCCCTTGACCCTATAAGCTCTCCCGGTCCCTGGCCCCGAGTTTATCCCCCAGATCCCCATGCAAGCACCTGCTCCATCCGGGAGAAGCTCCACCCTGCCCCTTACCAAGTGAGCTTCCTCCCCCCACAGCGCCCACGGGCCACTGACGCTCTGATAGCAACCAAAACTCCATCTCCAGCCGGGTTTCTCTCCCAAGACCAGAGTCCCCACCTGCACCTGAATGCCTCCCGGACCCCTGACCCTCAGCTACATCCCACCTGAGCTCAGGATTTCCCAGCAAACCGGATGATCCCCCTTCCCTGTCCAGCTGATGAGGCTAGACCCCAGGGCAATCTTCCTGCCCCTTCTTGCCCCTCAGCCCAGAAAGCCCTTGACTCCTGATCCTGGTTCGTGCTGCCCCTTGAATCTTTCTGGCTCTTTCCATATTTCCCATAACATGCCCTGGCCCCAGTCAGGTCTTATCCTGACTCATGTCCCACTGATTGCATTGCCAAGCTGCCCTCTCCCTCTGGCCTCCCTGAATGCCCCAGAGGGGGGCCCACCCCAAAGCTTTTTTCTCATTCCCAGGAGCACTGGGGGTGCTTGCCACAGAGTCACCTTCCACAGACCTTCGAGAAGTCCCCAAACACCCCCCAGGGAGCTCACCACTACCCCACCAGCCAGTCTTTCTCCCATGCCCTCCCTGCCATCTGGCCTGTATGAACAGCCTCCCCCACCATGCTGGCAGCCTGGCAGAGCCCAGGTCTGACCCCACATGGGTCCCCGCTCGGGGCATCAGCACCCTGGGGGCACTGGGGTCTCTGACTCCTCCCTGGGTGCCCAGTGTCGCTTGCAATGGGGCTGATGTCCCGTTGCATAGGTTAAGTCATGGCTGAATTAATCTCGGAATAACCAGATCCTGGCCAATTTTTGTTGAATGGATGGAGAAGCAAATGGAGGGTTTGCAGAAGGGCTGGGCAGGAAGGCTGGGGGGAAGGCTGGGGGGAAGGCTGGGGGGAAGGCTGGGGGGAAGGCTGGGGGGAAGGCTGGGGGAAACGCTGGGTGTTCCCGTGGCTCCTGATGATACCTCCAGAGAATAGTGCTCCATCGGCTGTTGTCACTTCGGCTCACAAGGTGTCATAGCCAGGCCGGGGGGCACCATAGTGAGCGCCCAGACTCAGGCCACCTGTGGTGGCAGAGAGAGCTTAGCATTTGCCCCCACCCTTCTCCCTCGGAGCCCCAGTTGCACCCCCCCGTCTGTCACCTGTGCAGAGCAGGAGGAGAGCTGAACCCCAGCCCAGGTAGAAGGACCAGGAGAAGAAGGACTGGATCTGGGCTTTTGGAGGCTGGTTCCACCTCTCACTGGTGTAGACCGCCATGGCCACCATTGCAGAGAGGGCTGGGGACGAGGAAAGAGTTGCTCAGATCCTCTGCAGGAACGCACTAGTCCCTGATGCCCAAGTGCAACCCGGAGTCCTTACCTGCAGCAAAGGCTGTGAAGGCAGAGACGAGGGGACCGCGACCCGGGGAGGACAGCGAGGGGATACAGGACAGCACCAGGAAGGCCACGGACACCAGGCCCCACAGGGCGGCCAGGATGCTGAAGCTCTGTGTCAAGTGGATGTAGCCTGCTCCGAGATGAGACCTCGGTGTCCATCCCCTCTGGCCATCTATCTGAACCCCTGTCCCCACCCCCGCCCAGCCCTGCCCAGAGAGACCGCCACCCCTCACCTGCTACTGAGTCCTGGTGACCTGATGGCCAGAGGCCCGAATGAGATGAAAACTTGGGGCCCACCGCCATGAACCAGTAATCTGTGCTCAGAGCAACCAGGATGGACGCCAGGCCCAGGGAGCCAGAGACCAGGGCCAGGGACCGATAGGGCTCCATGGAGGTGACAGCTGGGTGTCTGGGTCCTGAGGGATGAAGAGGTAGGTGATCCAGACCCTGAGTGTCTCAGAGAGAGGGAGCCTGTGCACCCTGACTCCTGGGTCCTCTGCTCTCAAGCAAGGGAAGCCAGCCAGCAACAGCAGCGGCCAGGGGGCCGCAGCGGTCAGGGGGCGGTGCTCCTGCCACCAGACTGTCTTGGTTTCACCCCGTTTCCAGTAGCCGCCTATTGTCACACATCCTGCTTCCTGGTCGCACCAATAGCACCGTCCCCTTCCGTAGGTTGGGCCCCCCTGGCAGCGGGTGGGTGTGGGGCGTGGGCCACATCGTCAGGGGGTTGGGCGGTGGTTTGGGACTTGCCTCTCTGCTTTGATTCTGTTCGTCTCAGTGTTGGAGCCCTCAACATCAGGAGGGGCTTCCTGGAAGAGGTAAGGGGTGCCCAGAAGTAGGAGGTGATGAATGAGGCCAGGGTGTGAACTCAAGGGGGGAGGGGATGTGGCCAGAGGGGACAGTTGGGGGATGCGTCATGCTTTCTTGTGGCTTCTGCAGCCTTCCTCTCTGGGAGCAGGGGGCCCAACTCTGAGGCCCCCACCAAAGGAAGGCGCTGGAGGCCTGGGCGCCAGGGCCTGAGGGAGGAAGGGGCGAGTGGGAGGCTCAGACTCCTGGATCCCTGCTTGGAGCCTATGCCCGGAGCAGGCAAACAGTGAAGAGTCACAGTTCTGAGAGTTTGTGGCAGGGGAGTCATGCCCACACCCTCCTCTGTGTCAGGTGGATGTAGCCTGCTCCGAGATGAGACCAGAACACAGACAGTTCTGCTTTGAGCGGGGCCTCCAGTGCGGCGAGCTTCCTCCCCAGGAACAGGGTGCCCAGGGTGGGCACAGGATGGCGGCACAGAAGCCCCCAGCCCTCCAGGCATGAGCCACCTCCTCCCACACCAGCATCAGGTCCTGGGCAATGTCTCACCTGTGAGCAGGTACCAAGTGAAGGCGCTGCAGCCCAGGTAGACGGCCCTGGCACACCTGACCTCTGTGAGTCTGGGAATGGCCAGAAGAGGGCCTCTGTCAGGAAGAGGACCTGAATCTCAATAACTATCAGAAGACACCCCAGTACACAATCTCCTAAGGAAGTCGATAAGTACCATCATCAGTTGGCCTGAATAAATATATTTTATTTTTTTAAAAATATTTTGAGTTCTTATCATGCGCCAGATGCTGTTTTATAAGCACTGAAGATCTAGAAGTGAGCAAAAACATGCACACATTTCTGCCTCAGGGGCACCCACATTCCAGATGGGGAGACAGACAACGTGCTATTGAAGAAAAATGGGTAATAACGTTTGTGAAACATGCCATGGAGAGGTAACAACAGAGCAGGGAGAGAGGGAGTGTGTTGTGATTTTACATAGGAGTCCAGGGACATCTCACTGAAAAGGTCACTCTGAAGCAAAGACCTACTTGGGAAGCGAGGTCCAGGCGGAGGTGAGCTCATGCCCGGACCAGCCCAGGGGCCCATGGGGCCGGAGCAGGGTGGACGAGAAGTGGAGCATCAACCCCCACCATAGATGGGTTGACGTCACCTGACTCTTGGGACCAAACCTCAAAGTCCTCGGTATGCCTTGCCTGACAAGAGTGTCTCCTTTGTCTGGGGGCCTTGAGCCATGCAAAACAGTTTAGAGCATCAGCATGGTTTGTGGTGGGGGCCATGTGGTATCAGCACGACCCCTGGGGGGCTAGAGAGTGAACGGCTTAGGTCAGCCACGTGATTTCTCCATGCCTGCGCAACCAACCTGGACCCTGCACCATAAAACACCTCGACACCAGGCTTAGGTGAGCTTCCCTGGCCAGCAATACTCTGTGCATATGGTCACACACTGTGGCTGGGGGAAGGGCAGTGGATGCTGCTTCTGGTCTTTCCTGGGTCCCTGAGCTCCTTCTCTTTGCTGATCTTAATCTGTATAAAAAAATTTCCCTGTAATAGGCTGTAGCCACGAGTACACCAGCTTCCTGAGTTTTTTGAGTCCTTCCAGCAAACACTGAACCCGAGGTGGCCTTGGGGACCCCTGAACTCAAGTGAGGGAGGGAGGATTAAATCAGAGAGTTAGTGGGATCCTGAACACATGGCACCTTGTTCAACCTTGATAGACTTATGCTTTCTGTCTGAGACGGGAGCCACTGGGGGGCCTGGAGCAGAGGGCTTAGGGTGGAGTGATCTGAACCACCCCCAGTGCAGAGGAAGGACTGCAGGGGGCAGGGAGGTATATGGGCAGAGACAGAGCTGGTCAGGGGACACGATGTTGGCTGGGACCAGGGTGGTGACTGTGGGAGAGCAAGAAGGAATCAAATTCTGGACACATTCGAAAGGCAAGAGCCGGCACAACTCGCTGATGAATCAGATGTGGGATGGAACCAAAGAAAGCAGCCAAGGATAATCCTAACATTTTTGGCTGAGCAGCTGAATAAAAATGGTGCTATTGTTTAGTAAGATGGGGAGACAGTGGGAGGAGCAGGTGTGGAGCAGGAACTCATTGTTAGCTATGTGAGTTTAGAGATTCCTTCCTGGCAGGTGGAAATGTTAAGTCATTGGAGACATGAGTCTGAAGCTGTGAGTACAATTTCATTATTATTGCTAAAGAAGGACTCTGGAAGATGATTACCATCGTAGAAGAATAAGCCTCAGTAAATATTTCTACTTAAATAGGCCTCAACTGTCACATTAGAGGAAGCTGCTATAAATACGACGTTATGTTATTTGAGGCTGCCCCAATATGCATTACTTCTGATGAGTAAGCCTCTATTAAAATAACAGTTATTAGCATAAGCTATAGTAAATATTCTTATTGTTAGACTCTGCCTTGCTGAACAGTATTATCTTAAGCTGGCATCAGAAAACCTCATGGCAGTTGGCATGTTTATTGACTTAGTGAATGAAGAGAAGGTCAAGATCACGAGTTGTGGTCAAAAGGCAAGCGCAGGAAGAAGGTGCTGGTCAAAGTCCTGGAGTTTCTAGCTGGTGGGGCCCAGCCCCCACTGGAGGTGGGGTGAGTGTTCAGGGAGGTGGTGTTTTCTCAGACCTGTTCATTTATTCTACTACCTTACCACAAAACTGGGATTTATAATAAATATATATTTGATCTTTGATCAGGTTCCTGGCAGGCAGGGGTCCTAAAACTCTTGGAATTTCCTAAGTAATGACGGAAGCAAAGGTGTATTTGTTATGTTAATGAGGTGGCTCTCGGACAGCACCTGAAGGTGGGGGCTTGTTGTCGGGGAAGCCCACTGGGTGAGCAGCGGGCTGGAATTTTCAACCCATTCCCCTGGCCTCTGGGGAAGAAAGAGGGGCTGGAGGTGGATTCAATTTCCAATGGCCAATAACTTCATCAATCATAATGAAGCCTCCATAAACACCCAGATGACAGTTTGGAGAGCTTTCAGGGTGGTGGTGAACTGATGGAGACTCGTCAAGTGGCCAACTCAGAGGGCCTGGAGGCCCGTGCCCTCTCCCCGTCCCTGGTCCAGCTGTTCCTGAGCTATGCCCTGGTATAATAAACCAGGGATCTGGTAAGTAAAACGCCTCTGAGCTCTGCGAGTTGCTCTAGCAAAGTAGTCAGACCTGGGGTGGGGGTCATGAAACCATCTATAGCTCAGGTGAGAAGCTGGGCTTGTGGTTGGTGTCTGAGGCGGGTGGGACAGTCCTATAGGACTGAGCCCTTCACCTGTGGGATATGATGCCACCTCCAGGGGATGGTGTCACAGTTGTGTTCATTACTTGGTGGTGTCGAGAAAAAAAACAAATATCAGAACAGCACCCACACATTCGTTTCCCAGGAGCTGAACGGTGGTCAGCCCCTGGGTGGGGACTGGGACTTAGCTCTGTCCCATCCCTACAGAAACTGAGAGGGTTGGGCTGTGGGCACACAGGGCCACCCCACCCCTAGCACTGGGACGCGCTGGGCCCCAGCCCTCCAGGGACACAGTCAGTACTTTCACGTCAGGTTTATTAGACTCCACACCGTTGCTCTAGTGGAGACAGCATTTCTCTAACACCCTGTGCATGGGCCTTGGGTCTCCTCAGTGGCTTCCCACCAGCCTGTCTTCCTCCTTCCCTTCGGGACACAGGAGTGAGGGGTCCCCACGGAGAGTCCAGGACTGAGCCCCCTCCCACCCCCCAGGAAGCAGGATTTCAGGCTCCCAGACCCTCCCCTCCTCTTTGTGGCCCCATTTTAACTTCCAGATGCAGCTGCTGCACATTTGGGCTCAGCGGGGAGCAGACAAGCGCCGACACTCGTGCATCCGGTAGGCACACATGTAGAAAATGCCTGTTCCAGGAAAAAGATCGCAACTGAGACCCCAAGCCCCAGTCCCCGTCCCCACCCCGAGACGCCCACCCCTGGGGTCCACCAGGCCTGGAGCCTGGCTCCTGGCCCCGGGCTGGAGGCCTGGGGCGGATGCCCTCTGAGGCCACTCCAGCACAGACACTGACCTTCCCGCCCCCAAGCCCCCCCTCCCCGTACCTGCAAAGAAGGTCATAAGCAGGGCCACCCAGCCCAGGATGTAGGACCAGGAAAAGCGCCAGTCCCCGAAGCGGCGGCCCAGGAAGCTGACGGTGACTCCGGTGTAAATGGCCAAGGCCAACAGGACGAAAAAGGCTGGGGAGAGAAGCAGGGGGTGGGAGTGGGGGTGGGGGTGGGGGTGGGGACAGGATGGGGGTGGGCTTGGAGATGGTTGCAGGAGTGAGATGGGGGAGGGGAGGGGTGAGGTGGGGTGGAGTTCAGGGAGAAATGATTGAGTAGGGGGTGGAGGTGGGCGTGGGCAGGAGGTAGGGGTGGGCGTGGGCAGGGTTGCACTGTGCAATAAGGAATTTGACTGGACTGGTCTTTGTCTCTGGTTCCCAGACGGAGATAAATTCTTGGAATTTTCTGAGTAAGAGGCGAGGCTTTTTCTTCTAGAACCTTTTCGGTCACACCTGAATTTATACTGATGAGCTGCAATGACTGGGATGGGGGCTGGTCCCCAGCAAGACCAACCGTGGGAAGGGAGGGAAGGGACGAACTGGGGCACTGAGCCCAGCCTCTGGGGTGCAGGAGGGATGGGGGCTGGAGATGGAGTTCTAGCATGCGGCCAATGATGCGCTCAGTCATGCCTTGTGATGGAACCCCGATAGAAGCTTTGGCTGTGGAAACGCGCTAGAGCTTCCTGGTCAGTGAGCACAGGGCTGTGCTGGGCGGGGGACATGCCACCGGGAAGGGGTGCAGAAGCTCTGCACTCAGGACCATCTCAGGCTCACCCTATGCACCTCCCCATCTGGCTCATGCTGGGTTGTGTCTTTTATAGAAATTGTATATAATATACAATTATAATAATTGTAAATGTCCTGCTGGCCTAAGGTCCATGAGTTGTTCTAGCTCATTTTTCAATCTGAGTGGGTCCTGGGAACCCCTGAGTCTGTAGTCAGTGGGTCAAAAGTGCAGGTGGTCCCAGGACCCCACGAGCAAGGGAACTAGGGGCAGTCTTGCTGGAAGCCGTGCCCCTACATGGGTGTGGGGGGTTCTGAGCCAACTCTGACTGCTGATATGAGTTGAATGGCCGCACACCCTGCTGTCAGAATAGGCTGGAATTAGACGTGGTCTTGGGGTTGGTGTTAGGGTAGGGATGGGTTGGGGTTGGAGCTGGACAGGGAATTGGGGTGGGAGTGGGGAAAGGATTGGGAGTCCACTCACTGGAGGTGAAAAACATGATTCCCGCAGAGAAGGGCCGGGAGAGTCTGGAGAAGGTGGGCTGCTGAGCGAAGGCCAGGATGCCCACAATGATGCCCGAGGTGGCGCACAAGGAGGACAGGATCATGAAGGCCCGGGTGGCGTTCCAGTAGGCTGTGGTGGCACCCCGCGGTCACTCCCGGGCCTCCCCTGCCCTCAGTGGTGAATGCTTCCACCTCTGGGGGCAGGATAGCCTTGCCTCCCTCCAAATTCCTGACACAGCTCCTCCTTCACCTCTTGGCAAACCCCTCCCTTTGCACCTGGCAAACTCCTATTTATCCTCCAAAGCCCAGCTTCCAATTCTCCTCCTCTAGGAAACAGCCCTTCCCACCTCAGGCATCATCCCCAGCCCCTGCTCTGGGTTGTGACTCTGTCTCCCCCTGCAGCCTGATTGCTTCCTGAGGACAGGCCTGGCCTGGTGCCACATCACCAAAGGCCCAGCATAGGTTTGGTTTGCACACAGGCCTGAAAAAATGCTTGCTGGATGAACGAATGAATGAAAGAATGCTGATTCCCCACTAACTGTGTGGTTTCTGGCTCCTGAAAGGACCCTGACCGCTGCACCCTGTTTGAAGGGGACAGCTGCCGCTCACACCCATGGACCTGGTGGGCAGAGGGATGAGCAAAACTGGATTTTGCTGCAAGGAGCTGCAAGTCCAGGTTTTTACATCAAATCAAACTTTTTGATACTGGCAAGAACTTTAAAAACACTATGCAGTCCACAGCTGGGTTTGTCCTTGGGAAGCAAGTCAGGATTCCTGCTCTAATTTCTCATTTTGGTGAGCGAATTGCAACTGCTGAGCTCAAGCCAGCTGTTTGGACAGATGCCTAAGAGGGTGCAGGGTGCCCCTGAGGACTGAGGTTTGGATGTCATAAGAACTTGCAAACTTTGTTCACACACCCCTCTCTTCTCCATCCTCAGCAAAAACAAGATGCAGAGGGGACTCAGAACTGTCCCTTGGGGGTGTCCAGCCTGAAGCAGAAGTGGTGGAAGCGTGATGCATGACGTGGCCGGAAATGAAAGGGATGTGAGGAGTCAGGCGGACTGGGCCCTGCAGCTAGTGGCCCAGAGCCCCTTTCCACTTCTGCCTGCCTTTGTTTACCCTTTCTGTAAAGGGGTATCCTGCAGCCTCTGTCTCAGGATAGGCCCAGTGAGTTGGGGCAGGTGGCATCTCCCATGAGAGTTGGCTTCTCTTCCCAGACCCCCTTCAAAGGAATGTTTGACTCTTTGAGGTGGAACTTCATGTTCTGAGTCACAGGCACCTGGAGCCACCCTCTGACTGCTGTTGGGAGGCTGAAGGGAGCTAATCCACGTAAGGCACGCAATAAACGCCAGTTGTTGTTACCCTGGTTACTATTCCTGTTGCTATGATTGGGTACATATACAATCTGTAATGTATCATTTATTATTAATTTAATAATATATTACATAACGCATACTGTAGAATATACATTATGTAATATATTATATATCTCTATGTATCTCTCCATATGTATGTATACACAGAGAGATACAGAGAGATTTATGACATATTTAATATATTATACACACATATATATTACCATATAGGTTGCAAGAGTCCTATGCTGCATTATTTTTATCCCCATTTTTACAACATATATTGTAATCTATACATATATATACATGTATATTACACGGCCTGACACTTTGTATTAAAAAATACCTCAGGCAGTATTTATGAAATTTAGAGTTTGTGCTGCTTCTATATCCCTGGGTACCTAGCATAGCTCTTAATATGTAGTAGATATTCTAGAAACTGCTACTTTGACAATCTCAGCCCCAGCTGCTATAACTAACATCTGTTTGGTGCTGAGAGACATCACCTCTCTATTCAACCTCTAAGTCAGTATGTCTTGCAATTGTACTAGAAAAAAATACTGAAATCTCAAATCTGCTCCTTCCACAGAGTGACTTTTGGTGGTCCCCTTCCCTCTCTGAGACACATCTGCAAAACAGGTGCCTTTGGTCTGTGAAGTACTGCCCTGTGGGGGGCTCTGACCCCAGGCACAGCCCAGACCCCGCCTCGGAGCCTCACCAATGCTCTCTGTCTGCAGGTAGCACTTGCTGCCCAGGCAATACCGCCAGAGGCCCTGGTGGGCGAAGGTCCCCGACAGCCGGTATTGCATCCAGTGGTCTGTCGCTGTGGCCACTACCAGGAGGATGGTCCCCACCCAGGCACAGAAGAGGCCACCACCCAGGAAGCTGTACATGGCGATCTGTGGGGAAGGGAAGAGATGGGGTCAGGAGCTGGATCCAGGCAGAGGAAGGGGCTGGGGACCTGGACTCCTGGGTCCTGGGAAAGGAAGGGGCTGGGGCCTGGACTCCTGGGTCCTGGCAGAGGAAGGGGCTGGGGGCCTGGATTCCTGGGTCCTGGGAAAGGAAGGGGTTGGGAGCCTGGGCTCCTGGGTCCTGGGAAAGGAAGGGGCTGGGGGCCCAGACTCCCTGGTCATAGAGGAAGAGGAACTAGGGGTCTGGACTCCTAGGATGAGAGAGGAGGGCCTGGGGCTATGCATTCCTGGGTCCTAGGGGAGAAGGAAGCTGGGGGCCTGGACTTCAGATCCTAAGCCAGGAAGAGGGAGACCAAGTCGTTGGGGAAGCAGAGGCCTTGGGGCCTGGACCCTTGGGTCCTACGTGAGAGGGGAATGGAGCTGGGGCCCCACGAGGTCCCTGGAAGAAGGAGCTGGAGGGCTGGATCCCAAGGTCGTGGGGAGGGGGGCGACTGATGCTGGTCCTACCTGAGTGGCAGAGCCTGTCCTGCGCCCTCCGTCTGCCTCGGCCCCTCTATGCAGACTGAGCAGAGCCAGGTCGCTGGTCTCTGCTCCTCGGGTCCCCCAAATCCCTTAAGCCTCCCCGCACAATGGCTCTGCGGCCCAGCAGCTTCCAGCAGGCAGAAATGCAGTGGTAGCAGAGGCCCCAAATGGAATTCGCTGAGCAGAGATCCAAGCGTTCCCTGCGCGCTGCCGCCGGCCCCACCAGCCCCCGTCTGGTCTGCGAGCCTCCCGACAATGCCTGCACCCCTCACAGGCCCTGCTCACAGCGCCCACCGTGAGCCTGAGCTGCGTTTGCACACATGCAGAGACACAGGGACAAGCACACACAAAGTGACAGTCATCCATTTATTGCTCAGCCAGGCCTCCCCATCCCCAAGGGCAGGACGCAAGCTGGCGGGCTGCGGGTGTCTGGATATGCTGGTCCAGTGAGGCTCTGGGTGGTGGGGCCACAGCCGGGGCTGGGACAGGAAGGAGGCTGAGGATGAGGTGGGGTTGGGGCTGAAGGTGGGGGGGTGTCTGGAAGGAAGGTAAGGGTGAGGATTGGGTTGGCCCGAGGCAGACAGAGGGGAATGAGGAAGCTGGGAAAGAGGGTGGGGTGGGGGGCAGGCCAAGGATGAAGACTGGGAATCCGGCATCAGGAGTGGGGACGGGACTGGGGTTGCAGAGGCAGGCGGCCATGGCTCTGGGGTTAGGAGTGGGGCTGGAGGCGGGGCTGGGCTGTTGCTGTCTTTGGGACTGGGATGGTGTTGGGAATGGGTTTGGGCTGGGGTATGAGGTGCGGGGCTTGTTCTGAGGCCCTGGTTTGGGGGAAGAGGGGTGGGCGCAGGATGGTTCTTGGGGTATCTCTTGAAGTGCTGCGGTCACCCTGGGCCCTAGTACTCTGCCTCCCAGTCCTCCCCAGCAGGTGGCACATCCCGGGGTGGCTCTTGACCTCTGGGTTCCTTTTTCCCATCCTGGGCATGCAGTGCTGGAGTCGACGGCGGCGTCGTTGGTGGGGTCTTGGGGCCAGCCCCAGAGCCCCCCACCCATCCCCTCTCTGGCTGCTCAGCCCTCCCGGGTCCCCATCGCCACTGGCCCTGGCCTCGGCCTGGCCGGCGTGGGACATCCCAGCCCCCGCGTCCCTTGGATGGTCTCTTGGCCATGCCTGGCTGGGTGCCGCATGCCTGGGAGGTGCAGGGGCAGGAGGGCATGGACTGCTGAAAGCTGTAGGCCCCCATCAGGGCGCTGTGCAGGAGGTAGGAGAGGGCGTCCAGACGGATGGGAACCGTGATAGAGGCCACGCTTTCCGGAAGCCCCAGGTGGGCGGGATCTGGGGTGCCCAGGGGAAAAGGCGGCAGCGCTGAGAAAGGTGCAGGGGGACACGGCTCTGTCCCAGGTGGTGGCAGGGACGGGTTGTTTCTAAAATGACAAGAGGACAGGTCAGAGGTCGGAAGGCCTCACCATCTCCGCCTCCTTCCCATTGCAGTCCGGCTGCTTCTGCACGGCTCGGGGGTCACTTCTCTCCATCCTCATTCCTGCCTCTGCTCATCCCCGGCTGCTTATCCCCCTCGCCGCCACCCCCTGCCCTCTGCTTCTCCTCCTCTCCCCACAGAAGGCAGCCCTGACTCCAGGCTGCCTCATCACCGTGCGTCTCGGGCCAATCACTCCCATTCTGAACCTTAATTTTTCATACCAAAAGATGGTATGAAAAATTTTGGTGGTACCAAAGGTGTGTATTAGAGGTCTGAGTCTGGTTTATACTTATTTCTCCAACCCTATGGAGAAATAATATATCCTCAATAAAATACTTTCGATTCTCCTGGTTGATTCTGGAAATTTCTGTGTCCCATGAGTACCTGTTTCTAGCTCTGACCCGATTTCTAAGTATCTGACGCAACTCTGTCAGCAAGATCCTCCACGATGTGGCGATGCTTTCTGACACTCTCTCGGGGTCCCCTCCCCTCTCTGCGCCTCGGGCCCCTCCAGGGGGCCTTGCGTCTCTCACCCTTGGGGCCCAGTCTCTTTCTTTTGCTGCTCCATCTCCACAGAGGTCTCTAGTCTCTTCTAGCACCTTCGCCTCTATTTCTCTGGGTCCCAAGCCGACGGTGTAGAAAGTGGGCGGGGCTTGGTCAGGCGCGGAGCGTGGCCTGCGGGGCGGAGCGGGACGCGCGGGGGCGCAGGAAAGAGCGCTGGGCCGGCGTAGGGGGTCTAATGCCTCGGCCCACGTTTCCTAGGGCACAGGCCCCTCCTCCCCAGACCTGGGAGTTCAGGACCCCAGCCCCCTCCTCCCTCTCCATCGGTGTCCCTGGCCTTTGTCCTTGGGGAGCCTGATGGTGTTCTTTAGGACTAAAGGGACATTTAGACAGGGAAATCTGGACATCTGGACACTCCCCAGAGCAGAGGAAAGTAGAAGTCTTAGGCGCTGGATTCCACCCTGGGCTCTGCGTCTGACTTGTTTTGTGACCTTAAGTCCTTCTAGTCTCCATGCTTGCTTCTCCATCTGAGAAATAGAGTGAATATCCCCTTCCAGGTTCCTGTGAGGTGTAGAAGATATCACCTGTGTCAAGGAGTTAAACAGAATCTGGGCTGCACGTACGCTCAGCAAAAGAGGTACTTACCATTGCTGGTAGCCATGGCGGTATTTTATTGAGAACCAAAGTCATCTCCCATCCATTCGTTTAAGAACTATATATTCAGTGCCTACTGTATGCCAGGCCCCAGGCTGGGCACTGAGGGTATAGCCCGGGACAAAATCCATGCAGCCCCTTCTCTTACAAAACTCACATGCTGCCATACACAAACAAGACACAAACAGTACATTTCCAAGTTCTGAGAAGATGTGAACAAGGGGCAGGGAATTATTTTACATGAGATGGGTAGGGAAGACTGCCGTGGGAAGACACCAGAAGACAGCGAGGTGTGTCTTCCTGGCAGAGTGAAAAGCAGATGCAAAGGTCTCTGCACGGAACAAGCAGTGTTGGAGGGACTGGGAAGGAATTAGCTAGGAGGAGGGAGAGAGGTCTGTTTTTTAAAATATTATTTTTAGTTTTGGGATACTTTTATATTTACAGAAAGTCCCATAAACTTCGTACCTAACTTTCCCTAATCTTCTTACATGGTCTAGGGACATTTATCAACTAAGAAGCCAACGTGACCATTAACGAAACTCCAGATTATCTTTGGATTTTGCTACTTTTTACACAAATGTCTTCTTTTTCTTCTGTTCCAGAACCCAATGCAGGATACCTCTCAGCCAGCACATCTCCATAAGTCACCTCTGGTCTGTGGCAGCTTCTCAGGCTCTCTGCTTTTCCCACTCTTGATGGTTTTGAGAAATACTAGTCAGTTATTTGATACAACAGAGGTCTATTTTAATTAATAATTCTAATTTACTTAATCCTCATTTCACAGCTGATAGGAGAGGCTAAGTAAGTTACTCAAGATCAGGGAGCTAGTGAGTGAACAGCTGGGATTCGAACTGTGGCAGCCTGGCTCCTGAGTCTGTGCTTTTCATGGAGACCCAGGTAGTTGCAGCCAGACTGCATAGTACCTTGTAGGTCAGTGAAGACTTTGGATTTTTTTGTCGCTGTTTTTTAGTTTTAGAACATTGAGATGACTTTGAATACTTGTAAGCAGAGATGTGACATCACTTGATTTTTAAGAAAAGCACCATGTCCGACGGCGGCAGGTGGCCGCGCCCATGGTAACGCACACCTTTGCATAGTTCCTGGTCAACACAGAAATGTGGAGTGTTTCGGCTGAATCCTAATGCACAGAAGATCGTTATGGTCCTGGTTGAAAAAGTGGCACATGAGTTGAAGGAAACAAAGGGGAAAGTCCAGAAGGAAATGAAAAAATTGCCACCTACCATGTCATGAAGAGGTCCTATGGCGAGTTCACGTGGAAAGTAACTGAGGCTCCCAACAACAAGCACCCGCTTGCCAACCTCTGAGTGAGCCATCCTGGAGGCGGGTTCTCAGCCTCAGTCAAGCCTTCAGTAAGTGCTGCAGCCCCAGCCCACATCTTGTACAGGATCACGAGACCCTGAGCCAAAACTATACAATTAAGCCACTCCCAAATTCATGAACTACAGAAACTCTCAGATAATAAGTGTTTATTGTTGTTTTAAGCAAAGAAAAAAATATAAGGTGAGCACTGTATCTGCAGTTTGGAGAATGGATTGCAGTGAAAACCGAGAGTGGAAGCAGAAAGCCCAGGGAGGAGGCTGCTATCTTCCAAGAGGGTGGGGTAGTGGGGATGAGAACATGTGGATGGGGGTTTACGGCGTGTGTTGGAGGAAGAACCATCAGGACCTGATGCAGGCATGCTAGGATTGGGAACAGGGAACCCAGGATTATACAAAGTTTTCAGCCTTAGCAGCTACTCTGAATATGAATTTTCTACAGAAGTTCACATCATCCCACTTTAAGAATGAGAATTCCCAGATAGGAGCTTTCCCTTTCTGAGATCTCTCGAATCCAGGCCCTCTGCGGGACGACGCACCGTCCCTCAAAGGGCTGTCAGTCTTGAAGGGTGGGGGACAGAAACAGAAATGGACACTTGAACAGGAATGATACAGGATGATCAGAGCGGGGACACAAGGGGACACAGTGAGAGCCCCAAGCGGGAAAAACGCTGCCTGGGGGGCAAATGGGTGGAGGGTGAAGTCGGGGAGGTTTTCTGGAGGTGGTCTTTGGCTTGGTCTAGGGTGAGTGGGTATTTGATGTGGGGGAAACGGCGTGAGCAAAGGCCCGGTAGCTGTAATCGAATGATTTGCATTGGGAGGAACGCGTGGGGCTTTCCCTTCCTGGGGACTATGATTAGCATCCGATCTCATCCATCCGGTTGCGTCGCACCCTGAAAAGACAAGTTTACGACGAGATGGGGCGCGGAAATGAGGGTTCGAGTGCCCACCCGCTACTTACAAGCGCTGTGACCTACAGCAAGCTGCTTAAGCTTTTTGAGTCTCCGTTTCTTCGCGAGACAGAGCCTAATGCTCAATTCCAGCGCAACGGGATTGCTTCTGGCTTTGTTCTGTTACTGTTTCTCCTACTTCTTCTATCAGTGTCCGACAACCACTTGCCAAATACCTGACTCTTTCAAGGGCGGAGGGAGGCGGAATTTTGTGTCTCGGAACTACTGTTTACCCACCGAAATTGACAGGCGACTTCTGAAACGTGACCAATCAACTTCTGCGTCTGGGGAAGCGAAGCTTCCGATTCGCGGGGGATGTCTGTCGGCAATTGGTTTAGCCCCGCCCACGGCTGTTCGCTGTGCTGCGCGAGACGTCTTCGGCTCTGATTGGCGGGTGAGCTAGCTTTCTTCCGAAGCCCCTCCCTGCGGCCGTTGATCCGCGGGCAAGCATACTCACTCTTTGATTGGCTACGTTTCTGAGCTCGAGCCTTACTCTCGCCTTCTGATTGGCTGTTCTTGTCTGCCTTCGCTGTAACTGACAGTTGAACTGTGCCTGATAATGCCGCTTCTCTTGGTGGTAGTCGCTGCACTCGGGCAAGGTGGCAACCTCCGAGTCGGGGAAGACCCAGCCCAGGTCTGGAGATGCCAAGAGAAACTTGGAGGGGAGAGGGAACCCCGGACTGAGGGGGAATCCCGTGCAGGGGTCTCCTTGGCCCACCAGGGAGCGCCGTCGCCCCATCCCGCCGTAGGACCAGCCACTTCCCTCACTGCGCCCCACCTGCCTCGGACCCCGCTTCCGACCCCATCCAGGAGACCGTCGGATACTCTGGTGTCCCTGTGGTTCCTTGAGCCTTACCCACTCCTTCAACCTCTCCAACTTGAGAGCCCTTCCAAGTGCAGGGTGGGCGTCAGGACCTCCTGGCCTGGAGGACTCCTCTCTCGCTGCCACCCGACCCGTAATCCTCCCCCATCCCCCAGGTCTAGGGCATCCTTGCTCTCTCCCTTGGAGAACCCCCCGACCTCTAGAGGCGCTCATCTCACTGCTCCCTTCCAGCCCCTTCCAGGCTCAGGGTCACCTTTAGACCCCGATTCAGGAGTTACGCCTCCTTCCTAACCACCCCTTATTTCTAGACTCCAGTCCCTTCGGTGGAGCCCAGGAATCCTGCAGACTCTCAGGGGTGGTCCCCAGCGCGCATGATCAGGATTTCCACACTTCCTGTTACTTATGTCCTGTCCGCTCCCCTTCCTCCCCCAGCTTGTAGACCCTTGAGGATGGAGGAGGCACTCACCCACCTCCGGAGTTCAGCCGGGCCTCCTCTTAGCCCTGCCCATCTTTCTTTCAGACCCACTATTCCCGTGGGAAGTCCTTGAACCCTGCCATGTGGGGGACAGCCATATGAGGTCCCCCATTCCTCAGGAGACCCTAGGCATCCTTCAGTATCCAGGGGAGATGGCCTTCAGGGACACCTCTACTTTCAGATCCGTATTCCTTCCCCCTTCCTTTCCTCAACTCTTAGGGCCCAAACGCTCACTACTGTTCTCCCCTCCCCACCCCCGTCTTTTCAGGTGTTTTATTGGCACTTGAAATTCAGGAGGTCATCCTTAAGCCACCCTACGCTTTCAGTACCCCCAGCTGAGTGTCTTCGATGCCAGCAATTCCTGGGCTGGATGCCTTACCCTTAGGCCAGCAGTCACGGGTCAGGCCCAAGTCCCATCTGGAGCCTTGGAGCTGGGCAGTTCTGCCGCCACCTCGTGCAATGGCCCGGATGCTTGGCAAGAGGTTACTGGAGTTCAGGGGTCAGATGTTTGGGCTCCTTGGGAATGAGTCCCTCTAAGTTCACGTGGTTGTTATGAATGGATTTCAGACTGCTTGAAAGTCTGGATTTGCTAGTAGCTTCTGCTGAAGTGGCAGGGGGAATCTGGAGGCCAAAGGGAAGTGGAGAAAGACACTTTGACTTGCATTCTCTCATTGAAATTCTCCACCTTAAAAAGTGCTCAGTATAGCTTGTTTTCATGTTTATTTTTCATTCAGAGAAATACACTTTTTGGTGTGTAGTTCAGAGTTTTGATGAATGCATAGCCATGTCACCATCACCACAAACAACAGAATACCCCTGTCATGCCCTGAGATTCTCTTGTGCTGCCCCTCTGCCATATCTATAAAAAAAAACAAAAAACCCAGTACCTTCCCGGAGAATGATTTGGCATCATCTAGCAAGATTGACAAGGCTCATCCCTTTAGGACCTGAGTTTGAATTGCATTTCTGCTATTTTGCTGTGTGACCTTTGGCAAGACCCTGTCCCTCTCTTAGCCCTGGCTTATAAAATGAGATGATTGCATTGGATGACCCCACATCATGAGTCTGTTATTCTATTACACCATGTGTACTGACTTCTGGTGGCCAACTTCAGTCCTTGCAGCAGATTTGGTATTTTATTCAGTACCCAGAGGCCTTGGCACACAGGCAAAACCTGTCAGCCTGGGCCTCCTGACCACATTATCCACCAGTAACTACCAAACCGGGTTCCTGGGGTGACTGCAGGGAGAACAGGGGAGCAGAGAAGGGGTAAGTACAGCCCTGTCTTTGGTGTCTCATTCTCCGAAGCTGTCCGCATTCCCTGCAGCCCGGAGCACCAGGCTAATTAAACTGGGCTAGCCCATTAACACCACCTATAAGCTGAGAAAATTTAAGGCAAATTTTAATAAATTTTATTAACAATAAAATTATATTTTATAACACATAACATTTATTATAATTTATAACAATAAAATTAAATATATTTATTCTAGATATAAATAATAGCCATGTGAGGCTGGGATCTTGGCACATTCTCTATCCTTCTGAATTGAAGGATACCCACCATACTTAGGTAATCATACTTAATGTCCAGGTAATGGTTTATAAAGGGCCTTCATCTGTGCTCTTATTCAGTCATTGCAAACATGCCTTTGAGTAGTATTCATCTTAATATAGAAGGATATCGAGGCTCACAGAGGGAGTCACTGGCCTCCACTTGTCCTGGCAACAAGCAGTAGAATGTGGATGCAGTGTAAGTCCTTTGTCTTTCCTTTATACTGCACTTGCCACATCTCTGCTCAGCACCCTCTGTCCAACAGTCCACCTGGAGTCCAATGTAGGGTCATGGCTAAGAGCCTGGGCTCGGGGTCACATTGCCTGGGATTTTATCTTGTTAATCATGTGGCTTTGGGCATATCTGTAACCTTTCAGCACCCCTGTTTGCTGAACTGTAAAATAGAGATAATACCTGTGCAAAGGAACCCTTGGCAAATTCCAACTCAAAATCTTTGTTGTTGATTTTTCTGTCCTCTCCCCTCCTCCGCCTCCTTCGTTATTCGCTGTGTAGTGATCTTCATCTAAGAACCAGACTAATTTGTCAGATTGTCACCAGGAGAGCTTGGTACTACAGAGCTTGGGCCATTTCATCCGCAAAAGGGAATTTGTATAAGCTATGACTAATAAACGGAATCAAATTAGGAGCGTTCTTCAGCTTTCTCATCTGGCTGTATGCTGTAAGAATTTTTACATGGTAACTTTTTTTCGAATAGAGAAAAATCAGGATGTGTCTCCAAAGAGAAGAAAAGGTGTGGCTGGACCTAAGGCCTGTCAATCAGCTCAGATATAAAGAGAGGCTAATGGTCACCTCATCTCAGGAGGAAGCATCTTCTTTTTGTGTAGGATCATAGTTGGACTGGGTGTGGGGTCTTTACTTCTTATAATGATAAACACAATTAGATAAATAAATCATTGGTAGGGGCTAGGAAACCAGAGCAAGAATTAGCTCATTACTACTGATTATTATTTTAGGTAGACAGATTACAATTTTTTGTTGAACTCTTCTGGACTAACATCTGTCTCTCTTAACATTCTGAACCTTTTCTTGTTCCCTTATAAAAAGAACTAGTTCACTAGGGTTTGGCAAGATGAAGGGAGACTTCTCCATCTATGGTCAAAAATTCACTTAAGACTTTCTGTGAGTTCTAGTTTCAGCTTGAGTTTGGAAAATGCCAATGTCCACCCACCATCAGCTTTTTCCTCTCAGTCTAAATCATCACCTTTTGGAACTGAATGCCAAATCTCACTTCCACATCTTTGCCTGCTTTTTTGATCTTGATCCAATTGACTATAGCCCAGGTCGGAGAAGAGGACTTGAACACCTCGCGCTCAGGAGCCCGCTGAGTGCGCTGGGGTCTGCGTCCTTTTCACTCCCGAGCTCCGCCTGCAGGAGGGATTGCCCGGCAGTGGGGACTCCTGACACTGCCATGTCTCCTGTGCGGCTTTAGAGAAGTTAATTCACCTCTCTGTCTCAGATATCTTCACAATGGAGACAGTCTTTTTCATAGGCCAAGTCCTTATGGAATGAGATGGTTATAAATGGTTGGCTCACAGTGGGGATATGTGGTGGGTGCTCAAAAATATTAATTCCTTTCCATCTTTTCCTTCCTCTTACTGCATTGCCATTAGGTGCAGCGTGACCTGAGAAAACCCTATTTGACCTGCTTTTCCCATCTGTCTTCCACTTCACCCATAACCTCTTCTGGGTTTTTTTTCCTTTTCTTCAGCTCTTCCTGTCTTCCAGTTGCATAATTTATCGCTTAAAAAAAATGCAAAGTCCAGCATCTTTTCTGGGCCCCTCAGTTCTCTGCCTGAGAAGTGGGAACCATCCCCCAAAAGAGCTTTCTGCCAAGCAACTAGAACTCTGAGATCTGGGGAAGGAGAAGGGGAAGGAGCAGGCTCTGCCTTGAGAAAGAGGCCCCTCTTTGGGTGGATTCAGAGCATGCTGCTCCCTTCTCTTCATTCTGACTTGAGGGCCTTCTCCGCTGTGTGCCCGTGCGTCTTTGCTCTTCCTTAGAGGTGTGGGTCTAAGAACGCCTTTGCCCCAGCCTCCGCTTGGGGTCCTTGTCTTGCATGTCCTCGGCTTGGGAACTTCCCTCGAGTCCCAGAGCTAGTCATCTTTGCCTGTCCAGGTTGCTTTGACCTCTGTCTGTATCCCCACTGCTGTTTCCTCTTCTGTAAAAATAATCGGGTGAGTTTACTTTAGATTGAGATTCCGCAAAGTTTTCCTGCAAAGGACCAAAACGGTAAATATCTCAGACTCAACTCTGCGTGAAATCAGCCAGAGACACACAAAAGACCATGGAGGGCTGTGCTCCAATAGTACTTTATTTGTAGAATTTCATATCATTTCCATATGTCACAAACCGTTCTTCTTTTCATTCCCCCCACATCCCCAAAAAAGCACTCTTGGCTCGTGGGTGGCAAATGGGCAGCAGGCCAGACAACCTGTGAGGTTAGCTTGCTGACCCCACACAGATTGGTTCATCATCTTTAAGAGCCTCCCGCCTTTGAGAAACCGCACCTAGGGTGGTGCCTGGGTATGTCGGAGGCAAAGCTTTCCTTGCTTCTCAGAACCATGTATTTGGAGAAGGCCATGCTGGAGGGGTTTGTGGAGCACTCAGGTCTGGGATGGGATGGCTCATCCTCCGAGGATTAAAAAGAACAAGAGAGAGGGCCTCCTGTTTTCCTCATCCCATCATTGCCCTGCCTTTGTCCCTGGCCTGGACGCCAGTCCCACAGCCCTGGGCACCCTCAGTGGAACTTGATTTCTGCGTAATCCGAGGGGGTATCCCTGGGCTCCTGGGTCTCCCGTGGTCTGAGGCCTGAGAAGTTGAGGGCAGCATAATGGGGCTCCTCATGGTTATTCTCTGGTTCTGGGGGCTGAGTGGATGATTTGGGTCCTGGGCCACCATGGGAAACAAAATATATCTCCTGGTTCTTCGCTTCTGGCGAGTGAGCACCCGGAGGATGGGGCTGGGAACGGCTGCTTGGCTTGGCTTTCCGATTTCGAGCCTAAGGGAACAGAGACCCATCATTCATTCTTTCTTTCACTCACGTGTTCAACAAACACTTGAGTCCCTACCATGCCCCAGGCACCGATCGAGGGGCTGGGATTACTCCAGGGAGTGAAACAGTCTTTGCTCTCGCTGAGCTGGCATTCCATCTTGGGGCACGAACGAATAATAAACGTTTGCCCCCTAAGCCGCCCTGTCTCTGGCTCTTTGCTGTGGCAGCCCTAGCAGACGGACAGAGGTAGATTCATGGAACCACCACTGCGGTCAAGATGCAGAGCTGCTCTGTCACCATGAAGATCTCACCCTTGCTACCTTTAGAGTCCATCTCATCATCCTCCCATCCCTAAGCCCTGGCAGCTACGACCAGCCCTACAATTGCATCATTTCAAGAGTGTTATAAACAGGGGATCATGCGCATATGACCATTTGAGATTGGCTTTTTTCTTTCTCTTTTTTTGTCCCTGAGCTCTATTCAAACGGCCACAGGTATCAATTCCCTGTTCCTTATGATCGCTAAGGAGTACTCCGTGGGGTAAATGTACCTATTTGGGTTCTTTAAAATGTCATGGGCAGAGAAAGCAGGCTGTGGGGGTGGGTGGCAAGAGTGGGGCACAGAGGACACGCAGAAGCTGGCGGTGGTGTGCAGGGGAGAGGTGTCGGTGCTCAGCCAGGGAGGCAGGGAGAGAAGGGGTTCGCGGGTATTTGGAAGGAGGTTTGCTGATGGACTGACTATAGGGTGATAGAGAAGAGAGCAGGAAAGGGTGTCTCCAAGGCCTCGGGCCTGAGCGGCTGGGCAGGTGTGGTGCTACTGACTCAGGTGGAGAGGGTGGGAAAGACTCCGTGGTATAAACAAGTCATGGGTTTGGTTTTGGACTGACTAAGTTTGAGATGCCAGTTAGATACCCAAATAGAGATGCTGCTAAGGCAGTTGGACCTGAGTCTAGAGTTTGGGAATAAGTCCGGGAGATGTGAATTTTGGAGTCATCGGCATATAAATGTTTTCTTATGAAAATATCCAGGATTTGCTGAACACTTATTAGGTGCCAGGTACTAGTCTAAATGTGCACAGGCATAACAGGAACATTTTGAAAACCTAGAATGCTCCTCAGTGGTAGGTACTATTTTCTCCACTTCACAGTTAAAGAAATTAAGGCACAGAGACGTTAAAAGTCTGTCCAAGAACACACAGCCACAAAGGTGGGATCGAACCCTGGCAGGCTGATGTCAGAGTCCTGCTCTTAATCACTAAACACACTGCCTCTGAGTGATATTAATACTTACTGCATCACTAGGTATAATCAGTCATGCCATGGCTGGTGGTAATAATGGGATCACCACTACGTGTGGAGCAGTGTGTGTGTGTTTCAATCCTCAAACCAGCTCTCAGGAAATGGAAGAAGAAATGGAAGCTTTGAGGGGGAATGATTTGGTCTAGATAATGCCAGTTAGGATTTGAAGGCAACACCCTTTTCCACCCTGCTGCCCCTCAGGCACGAGGCCCTCGGCAGGGCAGGAGCCAGTGCAGGAGGGAAAGGGGCAGCTGCTGGGCCACTCACCAGGGCACCCGCGGCAGGGACCACGTTGATGTAATCCAGGATGGTGCTTCTCCGCGAGGCCCAGGGCCGTGGAGTCTCTGCCTGAGTCAGAGTCTCTGCCCGGGGCCGTTTCTTCCTCAGAGTCTTCACGCTGAGGAAACAGCCGGCCTAGGTGTGCACCCTGGCACCTGCCGGGCCCCGGGCCCCGGACCCCACACTCCCCCTGGCTCCTGTGCCCGACTCACATGATCAGGATGAGGCAGAGGAAAAGGAGGGTGGTGACGCCAGTTCCCAGAAATGCTCCGCTCGAGAAGGCTTTCGAGTTCAGTCCCTTGTCTGCACAGAAGTGGTCAGCTGCCCTGAACCTCTCTGTCAGCGCGGGGCCTCAAGCCGCCTGCCGCTGGGCACTCAGGCCCCCAGGGGTTTTACCTGCAACCCTCTTCCTTCTACTTCTTGGAAATCCTGTTGCTCCCCAGGCCCAGGTGCCAGGCCTTCTGATTTGGATTCTCCCGTCTATATCCCCAGCCACAGACTCCATGTCCTGCCCTCCACGTCCCCCCAGCTCCTGCACAAACCGCAGGACCCTGCCCTCAGCCCCACTCAGTCCCCACCTCTGGGGACATGCAGTTGGCCCCCTGACCTGGCAGCAGCAGGACAGCGCTGCTCCGGGCCCCGTGCGCGTTCCCTGCCTCGCAGCTGAGTCTGAGGCCGGAACCGGGCGCCCCGCTGAGCCTCAGGGTGCTGTGGGCCCAGGGCCCCTGGGCGCTGGAGGTGACTGTCAGGGAGGCGTTGCTGTGGTTCCCCTGCAGCAGCGCCTCCCCCAGCCGCCAGCGCAGGGAGGGGGCTGGCAGGGCCCTGGAGGAGCAGTTGCAGTGCAGCCCCGGGTCCTCCCAGGAGCAGGAGGGGCCCAGCAGCCGCGGGGGGTCTGTGGGGAGGGGGGAGAGGGCTCAGGGGCGCGCCTCCCTCCCCAGGACCCGGGTGTCCTGCCCCCCCAGTGGGAGGCCCACGCTCACGGTGCACAGAGAGGCTCAGAGAGACGTGCTGGGAGCCCAGCCGGTTCCGAGCGTGGCAGGTGAATCCTCCCCCGTGGCCCAGCTCCACCCGGGGCAGCTCCAGGAGCCCAGGGTCTGAGGGCTGCGAGGGGCTGAGAGTCTGTCCGCCCCGGGCCCAGCTCAGCCCGGCGGGGGGGTTGCTGTGGGTGACACAGAGCAGACGCAGGCTTTGGCCCTCCAGGACTGGGAGGGACGTGCCATTCACAAGGTTTTCCGGGACTGGGGGAAGAAGAGGCAGGACAGACGCAGAGCTGAGGGCGCAGCGACCCGCTCGCACACCGTGGTCCTGGGGCTGGTGCCTGCGGGCCCTGGGCCCTGTGTCCTATTCCCACCTGTCCTGTTTGCTCGTGAGACCGCCACTGTCAAGTTCTCCGGGGCATCTGAAACAGAGACAGGGGACTGGCTCTAGACGGGCCAGGGCTTCCCTCCGGGCAAAGGGGCTGGTCCCTGGGACTGCTCGACCCCATGGCAGAGACGGGCAAGAAGGGCTGGTCCTTGTGACATTGTGATTCATAATAAGAAACACGTGTTCGGTCTTAGTCCCTGTTCTTCAATGGGGATCCTACAACCCTCGGAATTTCTCAAGTGCTGAGGGCAATAAAGGGCGTCCTGATATTCATGACAAGCCGCCGCTCTGTGAGGCGACTTTTGGAAAGCACCTGAGGATGGTGACTGGTCATCGGAGACCAAGCAGGTGATGAGATGACTGGAACTTTCAGTCCCACCCGTCCCACCTCCAACCTCCAAGGAGGGGAGAGGGGCTAGAGGTTGACTGAGTTCAATCACCAATGGCCAGTGCTTTAATCAATCATGCCTATGTACCGCCATAAAACCCCGAAGGATGGGGTCATGGAGCTTCCAGATTGGAGAACAAGTGGAGATTTGGGGGCAGTGGCCCACTCAGAGAGTACAGAGGCCCCGTGCCCTCTCCCCTTCCCTGGTCCTGTGCATTTCTTGGATCTGGTTATTCCTGAATTATATCATTTTATAATAACTGGTAATCTAATAACTAAAAGGTTTTTCTGTGAGTCACTCCAGCGAATTAATTAAACACAGGGAAGGGGCCATGGGAACCTCTGATTTACAGCCAGTTGGTCAGAAGCACCGGAGTCTGAAGGGGAGTGGGGGACAGAGCCCTTCCTGGGAGGGATCTGATGAAACCTCCAGGCAGACAGTGTCAGAAATGTGTGGAATTTAAGACACCCAGCTGGTGTCAGAGATTTGCCTGGTGGTGTTGGGGGAAAAAACTCACATCGGAGATGGGATCAGAATCGTTAGCCCCCTAGGCCTGGGGTTCCAGGTCCCTTTAAATCTCTGGGTCCCCGCCTCCAGCCCCTGCCCAGCGCCCCCTTCCCCTCTCCCAGAAACCAGGCCCCTGCTGGCCACACTCACACTGCACAGAAAGGTCCAGCGAGCGACTCTGGGAGCCGAGCCTGTTCTCTGCGCGGCAGGTGTAGCGGCCTGAATCCCCAGGCTTCACCCCAGGCAATACCAGTGCCAGGGTTCTGGGGCCCCAGGGGTGGGACCAAGAAAGGACTCTGTCCTCCAGGGCCCAGCTTAGCGTGGCAGGGGGCGTGCTATCGGCGGCACAGAGCAGCCGCAGGAGCTGGCCTTTCTGAGCTGCCAGATAGGGGCTGCTTCCCTGGGGCTCCGGGACTGCAGAGAGAGACAGCAAGACAAGGGGTGCAGGGCAGAACACCGTTTCCCTCACCCTCTTGACCTCAAAGAGGACCGGCCCCGCCCCGCCCCTGTAGACCCTCCGCACCTGACGAGTTGGCCCAGGAAATGCTGATGGCCAGGTCCCTGGGAGCATCTGCAATGAGACCGTGAGCTGGTTTTGCAGAGGAACATGGGGCCCCCACAGCCAGGGAGAGCCCCGTCAGGGAAATGACAGCATGACCATCCCCAGGGAAGATGTGTCTGTGGATGGAGGGCCTGCTGGCATCCAGAGCCCTCCCCAGGCTGAGGCGGCATGCCAGGACTCCACACCTCCCTCGGAACCATCATGTCTCCCCGCCACCCCATCCTGCCGTGCCTGCTCCCCCACCCTCATGTCCCGCCACCGAGCTCACAGGCCACGTTCAGTCGGATGGTTCTCTCTGTGCTCACACCCTTCCTGGGGAAGCCCACTCGGCAGGTGAGGTCGGCGCCATGGTCCTGGGCTTTCGGTGTGAGGTTGAGCACTGAGAAGTGGGAGGTAGTTGTCCTGGTCCCCTGGGAGGAGAGGATGGCCCCCATCCAGGAGAAAGTAGGGGCTGGACATTCCTCAAAGGAGCCATTAAACACACAGATGAGTGTGGCCTGATGCCCCGGCTCCAGCGTCTCTGGGACGAAGACATCTGGCTTCTGTGTCAGGGCTAGGACAGAAAGAGGGCACCATCCTAGCTGGACAGGGGCCCTCCAGGGGATGACCCATGGTCTGTTCCCAGTACGAGAAGCAGGGGATGGCAGAGAGGAGCAGAGGTTCCACCCAGACCCAGTTCAAGCCGGCTCCATACCTGTCACTTCCAGATAGAACTTGTTTTTTATGAAATTATATCGCACTCGTTGGCCTCTCTCCACCCGAAAGAAGTACATTGCCTGGTCCCCTCTCTGGGCCTCTCTGATCAGCAGGGAACAGCTCTGGTTCTGCGGGTGGCCAATGAGCTGGAATCGGCCCTGGGTCCCTGCTTGCACCTGTCGGTCCTGGTTATTGGTGGCCACCGGACTTCCAGCGGTCGTCTCAGTCATGTCCACGAACCAGTAGCCAAGAGCTGGGGTGGCGTCAGTCCAGCCTTCCAAGGGGTAGGAGACAGAGCAGGGGACGAACACACACAGGCCCTCCTGCACTGTCACCAGCTCCTGCACCTGCAGCCTGTATCTTGGGTCAGAAGCCCGAGAAGCTAGGGAGAGACAGAAGCTCAAGCTGTTGCCCAGCCCGAACCCACTCCCCCAGGCCCCTCCGGCCCTTGGCCCACTCACCGCCCCACAGCACTGCTGAGAGCAGCGGCAGGAGCATTCTGCCCCGGAGGCCTCAGACCAGCGCAGAGACAGGCTCGTGCCCAGAGGCTGAGACTGTGCTGGGCAGGCCCAGAAGGGGAAGCCGGGCAGCAGGCAGGTGGCGGAAGCTGAGCTCCAGGGAACTGATGCATAAAATGAGCTTCTGAGTCGGAGACCCACATGGCTTTCTCGCCACTCCCTACCCCCAGCTCGCCTACTCCGACTGGACTCGAGGTCTTTTGTGGGGAGGGAGGCTGCCTGGTGACTGGGGTCACTGAGCTGGCACTTCCTGAGTCACCCTGGTGGAAGGAGTGGAACGTCTGTGTCTAGCCATGGGGTCTGGGCCTGGTGGGGTGGAGAGCAGGGACTCTCCCACTGGGCCCTGGGCCACTGAGGAAGCAGAAGTGAAAGTCTGCAGTGAACCCTTCTTGCCAGGGCCCCTGGAGGTGGTGGGTGCAGAAGAGGGCAGATTTCGGGCAGGGGGCAGGGCTGGCCTCACCAGATAAGATTCAGAATGTCTCGTTCAAGTTGACTTTCAGATAAATAATAGGTTTTTTAGCATAAGTATATCCCGAATATTGCAGGGGACACACTTAAACTAAAATGACCTGTTACTGCTCTCTGAGATCCAAATTTAACCGGGCCCCTTGTGTTCTCATTTGCTACATCTGGTAACCCTAGGCTGGGCTCAGGACTGACCCTTCACCCTCCCTGCTGGGCTTGAGTGCCCCTGGGCCCCCAGGAGTACCGGAGTGAGGGGGACAAACTCTCCCAGCCCTTCTTGAAAGACTGCTTTGATCGGGTAGGGGGCACTGCTGGTCCACTGTGTTGCCATGTCCTGGGCCCTCGCGTGGGGCAGGTGCCAAGCTGAGCCCTGGGGACACACAGGTCAATCAGAAACAGTGGTGACTGGGGTCACTGAGCTGGCATTGGGGCCTGGGCCTGGGGGGTCTGACCTCCAGGGGGTCTGGTTTGGTAAAGGAACATTCTTGGAAACAGAAAAGCACCGGTGTGCACATACTCCCCACTCCCCCACATGCTGGGACAGATGTTTGTGATGCACCTGAGGAAGGAGTGGTCACTTCTTCCTGGTGAAGTCAGGAGAGCTCCCAGGAGGAGGTGACATCTAGTTGTCCCTCTGTTTGCTTTCACATCTGCTGTATGGGTTTGCGCAAGGGGTCGTAGCAAGGCGCCACAGGCTGGGGGCCTTCAACAGCAGAGATGTATTTCCTCACAGCTCTGGAGGCCGGAAGTCCACCATCAAAAAGCTGGCCTCTCTGTTTGGCTTGTAGATGCCGTCCCCCCTGCGTCTTCCCAGGGTCCCCCCTGTGTGCATGTCTGTGTCCCAACCTCTTCTTATAAGGACACCAGTGTTATTGGATTTGGGCTCACTCTAGGACCCCATTTTAGCTGAATTGCATCTTTAAAGGCTCTGTCCCATTCTAGGGTATTAGGGGTTAAGACCTCAGCATATGAATGGGGGGGCCACAATTCAGCTTATTGGCTGGGCTGTTGCCAGGGGAGGAGGAAACCCTCTTCCTCCTGCTGGGTCACAAAGTAGCAGTAAAGAGGCTTATGAACTGGCGGAATCCTCTCTTCCTTGGGGTCTGCAACTGACAAGGGGCAGGGCTGCCCAGCTCCCCCTGCAGCCTCTTGGCACCTCGCTGGGAAGATTCCCACCGTGAGTTTCCCCCACTCAGGCATCTGTACGGAGAACCTCCAACTGAACATGCTTCATGCAGCAGTTTGTCACCGCAAACCTTCCCAGTTGTCTAAATGCCACTCTTAAGTGGCACCACCCTGTGGTCACATCCTAGCGTCAATCTGATCCCGTCCTCTGCTTCCCTCCCATCTCCAGCCTATCCACAAAACTCACCAGTGCAGCTTTTTAAACACTAAAACAAATCTGCCCACGTATCCCCATCCCCACTGCCATTCATTACTCTAGCCCAAGAATCTCAATATCAGCTCTGTTGGCGTTTTGAGTCAGATCATTTTGGGGGAAGGGGGGTACTGTAGCTGTTGAACAGCAGCCCTGGCCTCTGCTCCTAGATGCCCACAGCCCTCCCTCCAGTCTCCCGACATTGCCACCTGCCCCCTGGATGGCAAAATCACTCTCAATTGAGGATGCCTGTCCCGGCTCAAGCCGCCTCACCTCTCCCCGGGTTTTTGGTGCATTCTCCATGCAGCAGCCAGAGTTACATTTTAAATGGGAATCAGACCCAGTTCCTCTTTGAGTTACACATTTCAGTGGCTGCTTGTTATATTCAGGAGAAAATCCAAACTGCTTACCATAACCCATGAGGCTGGGCTGAGGTGGTGCCTGAGACCCCCCAAACCCACAGCGAACCCTCCTCCCTGGACTTCTGCATTCCCACGACCTCCACCCTGCCTCTCGCATTTACCAAGCTCTGCCCGCCTGGGAACAGGAGGCTTATTCTCTCTTCCTGCGTCTGGCTTTCCGCTCACAGGCTGTCTCTTCAGAAATGCCTTTCCTGTCCTTACTAACCAGGTCGCCCTCCACATTTCCCCACCCCTACCTCCTCCCAATGACCTGTGGTCTTTTCAGGCCACCTCTGCCCATCCCCCAGCCACTCACGAGGATCTTTGTGGGTCACCCTCACATCTGTCTTCTCTGCCTAAGAATGCTCAGATTTTCTGAGCTTATTCCTTTAAAAAACAAACTGCAAGGCCCATCGCTCTCATTCAACAGGTGTTGAGCACCTGCTCTGTGGTCCTAGACGTTCCCAGGAGGGCAAACGGGTGTGGGGAGGAAGTGAGGTGGGGGTGGGAGAGGGTGTGGAGAGAAGTTCTGGTGAAGTAGGTAGTTAGTCCGGGATTCCACCCTGGGAGGGGTGCAGCGTGCAGGCCTGAGGGTAGGGTCGGGAGGAGGGCTGCACGAGGCTGGGCAAGTGGGGAAGGCTCCCAGTGGTGAATGAAGAGACCAGGTCTGGCTGGGCTGAGCCCCTGAGGGTGCTGAGGGGCCTTTATCAGGGGCACAGGGTATCTTAGACCAGCATCTTCTTGGCATCTGGGCCACGATGCCATGTGTTCCATGTCCCCTCCTTGGCCTCCTGTGCCGCAGTTCAGGATGCCGCCCTCAAGGGGCGGCCCGCATGGAGCCCCAGGCACCAGGCTCTGGGCAGTCCCTAGTCCCAGAGTGGGCCTCTCTCCAGGTACTCTTACGCAGGTTTTGGACTCATTTGTAAAAGCTCTTCCCAAAGGCGGCGTTCATTCATGTGGGGGCTGGCACAGCATAAGGCTGCACCGCAGAAGGGCTGCCTCCCGGCCAGGGGAGCATTGTTAAAGCCAGTCACCATCCCCTTGGCCACCCGACTTCCCTCAGGGCAAGCCCACCCTTCCCCAAAGGCAAAAAGCCCCCATATCCTCCGGCTCTCCCGCATCACCCAGGCACACTCACCAGCTGATGTCCATGTAAGAAAACGTGTTCCTGGGATGTCTTAGTAGTCCATTGGGGCTACTAGGACAGAAACAGCACGGACCTGGGTGCTAGAGCAACGCACATTCATTTCTCACGGTTCTGGAGGCTGGAAGTCCGAGATCACGGTGCCGGCAGATTCGGTGCCCGGTGAGAGCCCACTTCCTGGCTCCCGGAGGGCTGTCTTCTCACTGGGTCCTCAGATGGAAGAGGGGGTGAGGGAGCTCTCTGGGGTCTATTAGAGCATTGGTCCCCTGCGTGAGGCCCCACCCTCATGACCTGATCACTTCCCAAGGGCCCCACCTCCGAACACCATCACACTGAGGGTTAGGTTTCAATATATGGATCTGGGGGGCACTGTCTGTAGCCTGTGGGGTTACTCAGGGCACATCTTTGCATTGTCTGGGTTGGAGTTGTGTGATATTGCAGGAGCTCTTAGTTGGACCTCCACCCTTTCATCTTAACTCAAGACTGCATATTTCAAAGCAAGAAGGTGAATGAACTACCTACCATAGGAGACACTTGGATTCACTCTAACTTCTAGTAACGGGAAAATTTTGCAAGTTCAAAACTTCATTATCAGATGTAATTGCTACTAGCTGGTGCATGTTTTGACACTCCATGTGAGGTATTCATTTTCCCAAAGGAAATATCTATTCTTTATGTTAAAGCATAAGGCTGGCTGTGATCTGATCCCTACTTATTTTGCCAGCCTCCTATCTTTGTACTCCATTCTTAATTTTTTCCTTAAGAAAGAGGAAAGCGGGCCCTGCTGGCACTCAGAGCCAGGCGCTGGTGTTCTCCCAGTGAGCATAAACCACTGCACAGGGCATCGCCCCAGACACGCCCGCCCCGTGGCCTTGGTGGGACGAGGACCAGTCCGCTCCACAGTCCTGTGTCAGCACAGACACAATCAAGAACAGTGTCTAAGCCACGGCATGACCACATGCCCCGTGCAGGGCGGCACAACGCTGATTATTTACCAGCAACAGCTTTCGCCTGTGCCCTGGGCTCAATGCTGGATCGCCCTGACACTCAGATGGTGAAACCCTAACCCTCAGGGTGAAGGCATGTGGAGGTGGGGCATGTGGGAGGTGATGAAGTCATGACTGTGGAGCCCTCATGAGTGGAATTAGCTCCCTTATCAAAGAGACCCCAGAGAGCTCTCTCGCCCCTTCTGCCATGTGAGGACACAGGGAGAGGACAGCCCTCTGTGAACCAGGATGTGGACCCTCATCAGGCACCAAGTTTACTGGTGCCTTGATCTTGGAGTTCTCAGACTCCAGCGCTGTGAGAAAGGATTTCTGCTCGTTTATCAACCCCCCTGTCTGTAGTGTTTTGGTAGGGCAGCCTGAACTGATTCAGACAGACATCTGTGGGAGCTCAGAGACACTGCTTGGTGAGCCTGGCATATACTCACCTAGCTGAAGCCCTTGTCAAGATACGGAACATTTCCATCCCCTACCAAAGACTTCCACCATGTCCTCCCATACCAATCCCAGTATTCCCAGCATGCCATGTGTGAGTTGAAGCCTCTGCCTTATGGACAGGGGCAGCTTGGAGAAGAGAGCCCCCAACTTCTCAGCTGCATTCACCTGGAAGTCAACAGCTTCAGCACATAGCTGGCCGGGAAAGACATCCGCTGGTAATCTGCCCTCCTGGGAAGACACCATAGCCCTCAGCTTGGGACTTGGAGGAGAGGAAGCCGTGTGCTTTGGGCTCCACCCGCGTGGAATGGAGTTTCCCCCCGCTGAGCTGGGATGGAGGAGGGAGGAGCAGGTGGTAGCTCAAACGCCATTGGCTCTTATGGTTCCTACTGAGTTTCAGTAGATTTTCTTGGATACACGTTTCATCATTTGTTGCCTATCCTTAGGAGAGTTTCCAAAGAACTTAAATGGTTGTTTTAAAAAAAATGATTTTCACCCGTTATGCTTGTTTGACTGAAGAGTGAGTCCATGAATCACGTCAGAAGTGGGAATGATGTACTTGTCCATCAAGGAGGAACAGATAAACACCATGTGCTGCATATCCACACAACAGAATAATACGGAGAACAATGTGATGAATCATTGATGTGCTCTAAACATGGTTGACCCTCAAAGACCTAATGCTCAGTGAAAGATATTATAGACACCACAGACTTTATATCACATGATTCTATGTTTATGAAATGATCATAGAAATGTTGCTGGAGGTTAAAAGCAGGTTAGTGACTTTTCTGGAGCTATGAAGGGAATGGGTATTGACTGTAAATGAGCACAAGGTGCCTCCCTAGGCTAAGTAAAATGTGTGACAGTGGTTATGCAAATCTATTAATTTCCCCCAAAAATCATTGAGCCACACACTTAGAATGAATTAATTTTATGTCATGTAAGTTATACCTTGATCAAACCATTTTTAAAAGTCTGCCGGGGACTTCTGCTTCTGAGCACGAGAGAGTAACAGGGTCCAGAACAATCTTTCTTACGTAAACAACTAGAATACTGAACACAGACAGGTAAGAATCATGACCTTTGAGAGAAGGAATAAATGAGGTGAGCCTTATGGACACCCAAGTTTTCTGCTAGGATGGCCAAGCAGGAAGGGGCGGCAGGTACCCTAATAAGGACTGAAATTTCACTGAGTTGAGGAGCCGGGCATTGCTGGTTAAAGAGGCTGACAAGACTCGAATGTACAGGTCAGGCCTGCAGACAGGAGACAGCATTGCAGAGAATGGTTCAAGGTCTCCATAAAGGCTCCTGGAACCATTGGCCAGATGTCAGGATGCACATGCACAAGGTGAAGCCCCAAGCAAGGACAATTTCCCAGGGAGAACAGTTTTCAGAGCTCTGTCAGATGGGAAATGCCCAGGGCTCACGACGTGCTTGGACTTGAGCATATTCCCTCCAGCCAGAGAGAAGAGACCTCCCTGAATACATGGGGCATTCAGAAAAAGCTCCCCAAATGCCATGGCATCCAAGTAAAAGAACCAGCCCTGGGATACAGGCACCACCAGAGCTGCCTTAGAAGAGGCTAAAAAGTAAACAGCCTTAAAACCACTGGCCTGATATGGAAGTCATGTACCCACAGAACTCTCATGAGAGACTAGGACAGTCAAGGGGAGTGAATAGCTGAACGGCAGGAAATGTGAGCCTCGAACTCCTTAGGCAATAAAAGTATCTTTCCAAAGTTAATGTAAAGGCAGCCTTTTCCAGACAAACCACAGCTGACAGAATCCATCCCCAGCATCTCTACACCACAAAAAGACACCTGCAAAGGTCTTCAGGTAAAAGGAAGATGGTGTTTTCGAGAAGCCTGAATGTGCACACAGGACTGATGAGCAATGAAATGGTTTCTATGTGGGTAAGTGTCAAACAGCCTGATTTTTCCAATCCAACAAATCTCTTTAAAATTCCCTGTTTTATAAAAATGTATTACGGGCTTCAAAACAATGTATTAGGGGGTTGAATTATGGGCTTATCCAGACCACGTGAAGGTAAGCACATGGCAACAAAATATTACATGGAGTATGATTCAAATGAATAATAACAAATCTGCCAATCTCCTGACTTGCCCTCCCAACCGTTCACATAGAGCTGCAGGGGAGAGTCCTGGAGGTCAGAGGTGGAGAGATGCTCTTTCCGGAGACGAGGCGGGGCCGGGGCGCCGGGCTGCACAGAGCTGTGCAGGGGTGAGCGTCGGCCGACAGACCTGAGGCCAAAGCTCAGCAGCCCCCGAGGAACGCGGCTCAGTCCCACGTTGGGGCCTTAGCCCTTGGGGACCTCTGGACCGCACGGGGAGCTGCTCTGAAAGGAGAGACCAGCTCTGTGCAGGGTTTGCTCTGGAGAGGACAAGAGGGGTGAAGCCACCCGTGGTGTCCCCATGTCTAGGACACCTGGAGAAGGGCTGCTCACCTGCTGTAGTAGATCCAGGTGAGGCCGTAGGTGAGCAGGAAGCCAGCCCCCATGACGGCCCCTCTGATCAGGGTGAGGACCAGGGGCCAGGAGCCCTGCTGCTCCCCACAGATTTGGGAGCAGGAACAGGCGGCACCTGGGCGTGGAGGTAGAGGAGGGCGAGTGTCTGTAAGTGCACACCTTAGTCCCGCTCAGAGCCCCACCTGAGAACACAGGTGTCCTGTCTGTACTCACCCTGCACCACTAGGTTCAGGGATACATGGCAGAAGCCCCGCGGGTGCTGAGCTCGGCAGGTGAATTCTCCTCCATCCCCTAAGACCACCTGGGGCAGCTCCAGGACCCCAGGGTCTGAGGCCCGGGAGGGGCTCAGGGCCAGGCTTCCCCGGAACCAGCTCAGCCTGGCAGGGATGTTGCCATTGGCGCCACAGATGAGGCGTAGGGACTGGCCCTCCTGCACTCGCAGGGAGGTGGCATTGACCAGGTCCTCGGGGACTAGGGAGACAGAGAGCCAGAGGGCAGGGCTGAGACCCCTTTCTCTCCCTCCGACCTCCTGCAGACACAGGAATGGACAATAGTATCGCTGAGACCAGCGCTCCCAGCAAGGGCAGGGAAGGGGGAAGATCCGTGCAGCGAGGTGGGGAGGAAAGGCCCCCGATGATCCAGGGCAGGTGCACGGACACCTGAGGAACTGCAGCCAGGTGTAGGCCTGGGGGAGACCATCCCAGCAGGCAGACCGGACGGGTGGGACTGTGCAGGGCACTGGCCCAGGGAGGCCTGGCTGCTAGGAGGGGAAGCCCTGGATGCTTGCCCACAGGCAACGCGCTCAGCTTTTCCCCAAAGGCCACAGGAAGCCATAGGAGGTTCCAAGCAGGGAAGGAAGGGGGTCACACCTGGGGGATGTTGAGACCCCTCTGAGCCCTGGATTGTGGCAGGGGGTTTGCAGAGGAGAAGACTTGATATTGGGAGGCCGAGAAGAGGCCAGTCCAGCGCCCATTTCACTCATGTCCAATGAGAAAAGATGGAGGCCCGAGGTGGGGCTGTGGCCGTGGGGATGGAGGAAGAGTTATTGCAGAAGTTTTCAGGAAGTCGAGTTTGCAAAACTCATGAGTCACGGGGAGCCCTGGGTGAGACACAGGGCTGTGTAAGGGACCCAGGGTGCTTGGTGGGAGGGCCCTCCTTGGGCCGGGGGAGGGCGCTTGGCATGGCCTGGAGGGACAGGGATCTGTGAGGGTTTTCAGGACAGAGGTAGGACTGGGTCACGAGGGAGAGGAGCTCACGGGCTCCTCAGAAAGGGCGGAGGCCTGGTGCCTGGCTCTGGGAAGTCACGGATTTAATGCTCGGTCAGGGGCATGGCAGGGAATCAGGAAAAGGGAGTCAAGGGAAAGTGAAGGGGAGACAGGAAGAGGCCGGAGGGGACAGTGAGTGTCAACCAGGATTCAGAGCCCCTGGAGAGGTCCTGCCGGCAGACGGGGGCTCAGGACCAGAGAGGACGAGACGTGGGCTTCGTCCCTCCCTCACACCCCCTCCTCACTGGCCTCTGGGACCTCAGTTCTGCCCAGGGCCTTGCCCACCTGTGCTATTTCCCCAGAAGACACGGATGGTCAGGTAAGGTGGGGCGTCTGCAACAGAAACCAATGGTTGGCACCTGCCGCACAATGGGATGGCGGTGAGCAGGGCGGTGGGGTCCGGGTGTTCTCTCCAGTGTGTCTCTCCTCGGTGTCACCCCAGCCAGGCCTCCACGGAGAGCCCCCAAGTAAGCAGCCCCCGGGCCCTGCCTGCCCCCTCCCCACACCCACGGCCCCCAGGGGACCCCCTGCCCTGCCTGCACCCCCCATGGCCCCCAGGGGCCCTGGGCCCTGCCTGGAGCTCACAGGACACATTGAGCAGGATGGTTCTCTTGGCACCCACGTTGGCACCGGGGAAGGTCACCCGACAGGTGAGGTTGGTGCCGTGGTCCTGAGGCCCAGGAGTGAGGGTGAGCACCGAGGAGTGGAGAGTCTTGGGGTCTAGGGAGGTGAGGGAGACCCCGATCCAGGAGAAGGTGGGGGGCGTCCCCCTGTCACAGGCCCACGGCACTCCGCAGGTGATGTTCTTGGGGTGGCCAGATTCTAGGGTCCCCTGGATGTGCACATCAGGGGTCTTCGTCAGAGCTGGGGAGGACACATAGAGACCCAGGGCCTGGAGACGGAGACCCCGAGTGTGCCCCTAAGAGCAGCCTCTGCCTCGGGCCAGCCAGCCCCAGCGTCCTGTCCCCTGGGTCCCTCCCAGGATGAGGAGCAGGGGGACCCACCCGCCCTGCCCTGTGGCCCTCAGCACCCACCCCTGTGTCCTCTCCTTGACCCCATTCCTTACCTGTCACACGCACATTTAGCTGGTTCGCTCTGTAACTAAATCTCACATAAGACCCTCTCTCTACCCTGAAGAAGTATGTCCCCGAGTCCCTTTGAGGAACGCGGCTCAGTCCCACGTTGGGGCCTTAGCCCTTGGGGACCTCTGGACCGCACGGGGAGCTGCTCTGAAAGGAGAGACCAGCTCTGTGCAGGGTTTGCTCTGGAGAGGACAAGAGGGGTGAAGCCACCCGTGGTGTCCCCATGTCTAGGAGACCTGGAGAAGGGCTGCTCACCTGCTGTAGTAGATCCAGGTGAGGCCGTAGGTGAGCAGGAAGCCAGCCCCCATGACGGCCCCTCTGATCAGGGTGAGGACCAGGGGCCAGGAGCCCTGCTGCTCCCCACAGATTTGGGAGCAGGAACAGGCGGCACCTGGGCGTGGAGGTAGAGGAGGGCGAGTGTCTGTAAGTGCACACCTTAGTCCCGCTCAGAGCCCCACCTGAGAACACAGGTGTCCTGTCTGTACTCACCCTGCACCACTAGGTTCAGGGATACATGGCAGAAGCCCCGCGGGTGCTGAGCTCGGCAGGTGAATTCTCCTCCATCCCCTAAGACCACCTGGGGCAGCTCCAGGACCCCAGGGTCTGAGGCCCGGGAGGGGCTCAGGGCCAGGCTTCCCCGGAACCAGCTCAGCCTGGCAGGGATGTTGCCATTGGCGCCACAGATGAGGCGTAGGGACTGGCCCTCCTGCACTCGCAGGGAGGTGGCATTGACCAGGTCCTCGGGGACTAGGGAGACAGAGAGCCAGAGGGCAGGGCTGAGACCCCTTTCTCTCCCTCCGACCTCCTGCAGACACAGGAATGGACAATAGTATCGCTGAGACCAGCGCTCCCAGCAAGGGCAGGGAAGGGGGAAGATCCGTGCAGCGAGGTGGGGAGGAAAGGCCCCCGATGATCCAGGGCAGGTGCACGGACACCTGAGGAACTGCAGCCAGGTGTAGGCCTGGGGGAGACCATCCCAGCAGGCAGACCGGACGGGTGGGACTGTGCAGGGCACTGGCCCAGGGAGGCCTGGCTGCTAGGAGGGGAAGCCCTGGATGCTTGCCCACAGGCAATGCGCTCAGCTTTTCCCCAAAGGCCACAGGAAGCCATAGGAGGTTCCAAGCAGGGAAGGAAGGGGGTCACACCTGGGGGATGTTGAGACCCCTCTGAGCCCTGGATTGTGGCAGGGGGTTTGCAGAGGAGAAGACTTGATATTGGGAGGCCGAGAAGAGGCCAGTCCAGCGCCCATTTCACTCATGTCCAATGAGAAAAGATGGAGGCCCGAGGTGGGGCTGTGGCCGTGGGGATGGAGGAAGAGTTATTGCAGAAGTTTTCAGGAAGTCGAGTTTGCAAAACTCATGAGTCACGGGGAGCCCTGGGTGAGACACAGGGCTGTGTAAGGGACCCAGGGTGCTTGGTGGGAGGGGCCCTCCTTGGGCCGGGGGAGGGCGCTTGGCATGGCCTGGAGGGACAGGGATCTGTGAGGGTTTTCAGGACAGAGGTAGGACTGGGTCACGAGGGAGAGGAGCTCACGGGCTCCTCAGAAAGGGCGGAGGCCTGGTGCCTGGCTCTGGGAAGTCACGGATTTAATGCTCGGTCAGGGGCGTGGCAGGGAATCAGGAAAAGGGAGTCAAGGGAAAGTGAAGGGGAGACAGGAAGAGGCCGGAGGGGACAGTGAGTGTCAACCAGGATTCAGAGCCCCTGGAGAGGTCCTGCCGGCAGACGGGGGCTCAGGACCAGAGAGGACGAGACGTGGGCTTCGTCCCTCCCTCACACCCCCTCCTCACTGGCCTCTGGGACCTCAGTTCTGCCCAGGGCCTTGCCCACCTGTGCTATTTCCCCAGAAGACACGGATGGTCAGGTAAGGTGGGGCGTCTGCAACAGAAACCAATGGTTGGCACCTGCCGCACAATGGGATGGCGGTGAGCAGGGCGGTGGGGTCCGGGTGTTCTCTCCAGTGTGTCTCTCCTCGGTGTCACCCCAGCCAGGCCTCCACGGAGAGCCCCCAAGTAAGCAGCCCCCGGGCCCTGCCTGCCCCCTCCCCACACCCACGGCCCCCAGGGGACCCCCTGCCCTGCCTGCACCCCCCATGGCCCCCAGGGGCCCTGGGCCCTGCCTGGAGCTCACAGGACACATTGAGCAGGATGGTTCTCTTGGCACCCACGTTGGCACCGGGGAAGGTCACCCGACAGGTGAGGTTGGTGCCGTGGTCCTGGGGCCCTGGAGTGAGGGTGAGCACCGAGGAGTGGAGAGTCTTGGGGTCCAGGGAGGTGAGGGAGACCCCGATCCAGGAGAAGGTGGGGGGCGTCCCCCTGCCACAGGCCCACGGCACTGCACAGGTGATGTTCTTGGGGTGGCCAGATTCTAGGGTCCCCTGGATGTGCACGTCAGGGGTCTTCATCAGAGCTGGGGAGGACACATAGAGACCCAGGGCCTGGAGACGGAGACCCCGAGTGTGCCCCTAAGAGCAGCCTCTGCCTCGGGCCAGCCAGCCCCAGCGTCCTGTCCCCTGGGTCTCTCCCAGGATGAGGAGCAGGGGGACCCACCCGCCCTGCCCTGTGGCCCTCAGCACCCACCCCTGTGTCCTCTCCTTGACCCCATTCCTTACCTGTCACACGCACATTTAGCTGGTTCGCTCTGTAACTAAATCTCACATAAGACCCTCTCTCTACCCTGAAGAAGTATGTCCCCGAGTCCCTTCTCTGTGCATCTCTGATGTCCAGGGAGCAGCTGTAGTCCCAGGGGTCCCCGAGGAGGCGGAATCGGCCCTGGGTCTCCTCCTGCACTTTACGGCCTGGGTTGTTTGTGGCCACGGGAGCATCCTGGGATGCATCAGCCACTTCCCGGAACCAGTAGCCATAAGCTGGGTTATACTCAGTGTAATTTCTCAGGGGGTAGGAGAAACTGCAGGGCACGTGCACGCACAGGCCCTCCTGCACCGTCACGGACCTCTGCACTCGCAGCTGGAATCTCGGGTCCTGAGCCAGGGACCCTGCGGGGAGACAGGGGTCAGCTGCGCCCCCCTCCCGCCCTCCCCCAGGGCCACTCACCTGCGCACAGCAGCGACAGCATCAGGAGCATCTCCGAGATGAGGCTCTGGGCTTCCTGTGGGGGAGAGAGAAGGGGAAGGCAGTGAGTGCGATACAGGTCACCCACGGGGAGCTGGGGAGGAGCCCGAGGCCTGGGCCAGCCCTGCGCAGAAGAGGAAGTGTGGGGCGAGACCTGTCCTCCCTCTGCAGGGAGCGGGACACCCACGCCCAGACCCAGGAGCTGCCCGGAGAGCCGACCGCACAGACGCGCCCCGCCCCCAGCTCGGCCCTTCCCTCCGGCACCGGAACTGGGACCAGGGCTTCTGAGGACACCTGAGGCCCAGGACAGGTGAGGCTCCTAAGGCCCTCTCACCTGAGGTGCTCTTCTGAACACTTGTCTGCACGGAGGCGCTAGGCACTCCTGCCTTGACCCCTGAGGGTCATGGCCTCATCTAGCCCCTCGGTGGTGGGTCCTGCACAGGTCACAGGTCAGATTCTTTAGGGCCTGTGTGAGCCTCTGGGACAGAAGGAAAGAAGGGGTCCTGGGGAAGTGAAGGCAGCAGTTATTCATTCATTCATTCATTCATTCATTCATTCATTCATTCATTCCCCTTCTAGACATTGAGCCCCAATTGGTGGGGCTGAAAAGGGCCCTGCGACTGAGTTTGTGTTCATTTACCGCCTCCACACACTCCAGATGCAGAAAACCCACCCCAATGGGTCCCATGCTCTTAGTCTGTGTGGTTTTCCTCCAAACATGTTTCAATATCTGACAGATATTATTTTTTTCATTCTTGTCTCCATAATGACAGCACCTGGACGAGGGGGTACTTACTTCTTGTTCCCTTTTACTGGGGTAAAATGTCTGTAAAATAAAACTTGCCATTTTTAACCCTGTGTAAGGTACAGTTCAGTGGCCCTGAGCACATGCAGTGTTGTGCGACCATCACCATTATTTCCAAAACTTTACATCATCCCTAACAGACACTCCCAGTTACCCAACAGATCTTCACCACCCTGTCCCCAGCAGGGGACCGAGCCCGCCGGGGCTTCCAGCCCAGCCCGTCCGTGTGTTTGCCCCGGGTCTGGGCCTAGACGGCAGTGGGAGCCGTCTACGCTGTGCAGGAGGTGGACCTACGGTCTCTGGCGATGCCCGCGGAGGCCTGTGTTGGGGAGAGAGACGGAGCAGGGAGGTGGGTGCGTCCTGAGGCCCAGGGAGGGGATGAGGCGGCGGGAAGGACCCGGGCCAGGACTGCGAGGAGTCTGGCACCGCGGCGAGCTGTGCCCCGGAGGAAGGACGGACGTGACCCGGTGGTTTGTTGGATGGGGGGAGTGGAGGGAGGTCAAAGTGGGGAACCACACCCCGGTTCTGGCCTGAGAGGGGGGCGCCGGGTCACCCGTGTGACGGGGAACCCAGCAGAGCAGCAGTTCTGGGAGGAGGATGGCGGCTCAGCCTCGGCCACGCTGAGCGGAGCAACCCCGGGGCCGTCCTGGGGGAGGTGCTGGCGGGAGCTCGGGGCCCAGCAGCCCGCGCCGCTCACATGAGGGTCCGCCCGGGACGGGGCGGCGTCCTCCGCGCCCCCCGCCGGCCGGGCCCCCGCCCCCCCGCGGGCCGTCACCCTGAGCGCAGGACCAGGGTTCTCAGCCGGTCGGATCCGGGCGCAGCGCGCGCAGCCTCGCCCCGACCCCTGCCGGGGCCGCGAGCCGACTGAGAGGCCAGGGGCCGGGGCGCAGCAGGGACGCGGGGCCCGGACCCTCGCGGAACCTCCCCGGGCCGCCTGCCGCCCCGCCTTGACCTGCCCGCGCTGGTTCTGGGTCGGCCCGCGCCCCCAGGCCGCCCTCCCGGGGCGGCGCTCACAGGAGGTCCAGGACGCAGAGGACCAGGAGCAGGGCCTTCACAGCTGCCCCCGCGACGGCCGCCAGAACCACCTCCGCGGGCTGCGATTTCCCTGCAGGCTCAGGAGGAGGACGGGGTCACGAGCTTGCGGGACCCTGGGCCTTGGCTCCCCGGGCTCCCGGAGAATTCCTCGGTTCCACCTGCTCTGGGCTCAGCCACCCCACACCCCGGCCTTCCAGCAGCTGGACAGAGGGCTCTGGGCTGCCTGCCCAGGACCAGTGGGCTGAAGGCTCTGGGGTCCCTCTGCAGGGACAGGCTCCGACAGATGTGCTGGGAACGCATTCTGAGCTCAGCGCCGCCGTGAATACCTCTTCACCTCCCACCTGTACCGGGGGCAGCTGCAGCACTGCCCCTGAGCTCGGGGAGGGTGGGGGGGTGGGGAGGCGCCGCTGTTGATGGTGACACAACATCAGTGACTGGTCCTCCAGGACTGCAAGGGAGGAAGTAGTTCTCCAGGGCTCTGGGTGCTGGAGAAAAAGAGACAGAGGGTCAGAGAGACAGAGATCAGAGAAGGAGGAAAGATGCAGACAGAGACCAGTTGAGAGGAGTAGACAGACAGACTAGACTGAGAGAGACGGAGGCTCTGGCAGGGGGACCCAGAGAGAGTAAGCATGGGCCCAGAGCCCTGCTTCGCGCCGTGGTTTCTCTGAACTTGGCGGTGGTGATGCATCCCCATCCTGCCGGGCTTTGTCTGGCTGGATTCAGGCCCCAGCAAACACAGTGAACGGTTTTGAGCTTCACAGGCTGCTCACGCATGTCATCAGCCTTGCCTTGGACTCCATGTCCCCTTCACTCAGAACCCAGACTGACCCTGAAAACTCTTGTCTTTTATTCATGTTTTCATTGGACACCAGTTTACTGATTTAACAAGGTGTCTCTGAGGGGCCTCGTAGTCTGGTGGGGAGTGGGGACCCAGGAACAGATCACCGCACCACTACACCACAGCACCACGTGGCACATGTCATGATGGTGGTGACACTGGGCTAGGCAAGCCCTGGGGATGGCAATGTAAATGAGACTGACAGGTCTGGGAGGGCTTCCTGGAGGAGGTGGCATCTGAAAGCAAGAGAGAGGGGCAAGCAGAGGCAGCAGAATGATGATGAGGATGTGGAAGGGCATTGCAGGAAGGAGGAAAAGAGAGTGCAAAGATGAAAAAGGCCTGAAGGGAAAACAACAGACCTGCAGGGTGGAGGGAGAGAGGGTGGGATGGGGGCTATCAGAGAGGAGGCCACCTGAGGAAAGGCATTGGTTTTCATCAGCTCAAACTGGGAAAAGAGGAGAGATTGGTAAAGACAGCTGCCGGTGTAAAGAGATCCCTAAACACTAAAAACCACCCCCAAAAAAGGGGTGATGGCATACAGAGTAAAACTGCTGTCACTCCCATTATGGAAAAATGGCTAATTCCTCTACCTTGAAAAAAATTTTCTATGAATGAGTAAGAAACAGTCAGTTTACCCAGTAGAAAACTGAGCAAAGGCTATGGGCAAGTCACAGAATAAAAGAAATACAAATGATTCTTCATCCTGTAAAATCATGCGCAGCATCTTTCGTAGGAGCAGCTTAAACCGACACGGGATTCCAGTTGTCGCCTGATCTCGTCAAGGATCTGAAGTCTTCGCCCACCCAGGTGTGGCAAGGCTGGGAGAACATCTGTACTTTCAGTCATTGCTGGGGTGATGTACACTTGTCCATACTCAGTAGAGAAAACTTGGGGCATATTTCTCAAAAACAGAGGGTGGAGAAAAGAGAACCCTTGGGCACTGTCGGTGGGAATGTAAATTTGTGCTCCCACTATGGAAGCAGCATGGAGGATCCTCAAAAAATTTAATCCAGAGCTACTATATGATGCAGCAATTCCATTCCTGGGTGTTTATATGAAGAAAATAGAAACACTAACTTGAAAAGATTCGTGCACCCCCATGTTTCACTGCATTACTTACAATAACCAAGATATGGAAGCAGCCTAAGTGTCCATCAACCTAAGTGTCCATCAGGCATAAAGAAGATGTGGTACATATACACAATGGAATATTATTGCTCAGCTGTAAAAAAAGAAACCTTGTCATTTGTCACAACATGGATGGACCTGGAGGGCACTATGCTCAGTGAAAAAGATCAGAGGAAGACAAATACTGTATGATCTCATTTACATGCGGAATCTAAAAGAAAACAAGCTGTAGATACGGAGAACAGACTGGTGGTTGCCAGAGGGGAGGGGTCGGCAGTGGGTGAAGGGGCAAAGTTAGTCTAGGGCCTCAAAAGGTACAAACCTGAAAATACCTAAGTCAGGGAATGTAATGTACAGCGTGGTGACGCTAGTTAACAATACAATATTGCATATTTGAAAGTTGCTAAGAGAATACATCTTAAAACTCCTCATCACAAGAAAAAAAAATTTTGTGTCTATGTATAGTGATGGGTGTTCACTAGACTGCGATCACTTTGGCACATATAAATATCAAACCATCATGTCGTACACGGAGGCTGATCTAATGGCGTATGTCAACTGGACCTCAACAAAGAAGTAGAGCGTATGACCCAGCTATTTAGTTTTTAGGAATGTACCCCAAAGGCACACACGTGCACAAGAAAGTCCTTCTGAGATGATTGATTGCAGAGCGTTCTTGTTGGTAGAGTAAACTGAGCTCCGTGGTCTCAGGTAGTAGAGACTGCGGACAGAATCAGGATCCATCCGGGCGGAGGACACGCCACAGTCGCGGAGAGAACAGGACCGCCGGCACCACCGAACTCTGAGGACCCTTAGACCCTCTAGGAGAGCAGACCAGGGCCCGGCGCAGCCTGTGGACCCGGGTCACCCCCCAGGGGACGGGCACCTGAGGACGGGCTGGGCTGTGCAGTTTGGATGTTTGCCCACATGAGTGTATTGGCTGCTCAACAGCACTTACACAGTAAGCGATTGTTAGGGAAATAAAACGATGGGGCAGGAGGGGTTGTCAGGGGATGGCTCACCCTGTGGGTGAGCTCGGAGGCCCTGTGTGTGAGTGCTACGCTATGGGGGGCACAAACGTCAGGATGGTGGTGGGCCCCTGGGGACAGCTGCTCACAGAGGCTGTGGGGGCTGAGGAGGACCTCCGGGCTCAGCCACAGGGGCCTGGTCACTGGTGAGGCCAGGATGAGCCAGGGACCCTGCCCCGCCCCTGGACCTCGGGAGGGGGCTGCTTCCTACCTGTACTGTTTCCTGGGAAGGCAGCCACCGTCAAGTTCTGTGGAGGGTCTGGGGCAGAGAGACGCGGATCAAGTCAGTGGAGAGGGCTGGGTGGGCACTAGCCCTCTGTCCCCAGGAGCTGTGTAAGTGGGGAAAGGGTGGAGGTGGGCAACCGGACACATGCAGGCCCTCCTGCGCTGTCACGGACTCCTGCACTCGCAGCTGGTAACCCTGGGGGGAACCCCCCCAGCCGTCAGGCCCCTCCCACCACCAGAGCAGCGCCACCATCAGCAGCAGCGGGAACATGTCTGGGTTGGGGGGGCAGCTTCCCCCGGGGAGTCTGTCTCTCAGGAACTAAAAGCTGCAAGATCAGAGGAGGCCCCAACAGGAAGGTGAGGGCGAGGTCAGGACAGTGACCCTCCTCGGGGGAGGAGCTTCAGGGCCTGGCTCCATCAGGGCCGACAGCGCCCCCACCCCAAGCCATCCACTCCTGGGAACCCCAAACCGGGTGAGGGGTGGGGCTCAGCACCTCTCCTGCCTCCCTGTCCTGCCCTCCCCCTCCAGGGTGGTTTCCCACAAAGCGAAAACGTGTCCCTCCGGCCAGACCCCTTGAGCACAGGCTGTAGATGTCTGTGGAAGCTGGTCCTGCCAGGGAAGGGCCGTGGGGCCGTGGGAGATGGGAGGCTGGGGAGGGGGAGGCCGACGGTCCTCGAGGCCACACAGCCAGCGGGGAGACAAGTGACCAACACCTGGAGCTGTAATTCTGTGAATATTGTGACAGGAGCTGTTGACCTGTGCTTCTGACCTACTGGCTACAGACTGGAGCTTCCCACAGCCTCCCCCTTGGGTCTGGTTAATTTGCTAAAGCAGCTCACAGAACTCAAGAAAACACTTTTATTTACCAGTCTAATAAAGAAGACAAGTTAACAGCCAGGTGA